TGGCCCGGTGTGCTCTTGCCAGGAGAAGAAGGATGTGAGGCCCTGTCCATGATTGCTTCCGGAGACACATATGAGCTGACGCTGGCTTCCGAGGGAGATGCGACAATGTTGTGGTTGCTGGGGTTGCTGGGGTTGCTGAGGCTGCCGTTGACTGTTTGATTGGGCAGACTGGGCATCGGCGCCGATGAGATTGAGCGCAGCGGCTCGGTTTCGCCGTCGATTTCCACATCCAGCACCTCGTTCAGCACGTCGAGCTCATAGTTCGGGGAGTTGGTGTTGGAGATGTCCGAATAGCCTGAAAAGGAAGAGATGGAGCTGATGGACATGTTCTTCTTCCTGGTCCTGGACGATTTCTCGAGACGCGCGTCCATCTCTGGGCGGTTCTTCTTGGGTCGCCCGCGCTTCACCGTCTTCCTCACGATGCCGTCAAAGGCGCCCACGCACATGCCGCGTTGGCGATGTCTTGTGAGGGCATCATGCCGCGCGAATTTGTTGCCGCAGTCGCAAGGGTATGGCTTGATGCCGGTGTGAATCTTGGCGTGCCTCTTGAGGTCGTGCTGCCGTACAAAGCACTTCATGCAGGCCGGGCACTGGTACTGGCGGTCGTTGAGATGGGTCTGGACATGGGACTTGATGTTTTCTTTGCGTCCAAACTGCTTTCCGCAGTCCTCAAACAGGCAGGTCCATTTGCCGTCTGTCGTCTCGGGTCCCTGGATATACTGCGCAATCTCCTCGACTGTGACGCCCGTCTCGGTTCGCGTCTCATCGATGTTGATATCGGCGATGCTGGCCGCGCTGGCAATGCTGGCTGCAGACTCGGTGCGGCGATGGCGATGAGGGCGATCGGCAGGAGAATCCTGCGCGCCGTAGCCGTGCTGAAGCCGAGGTTGCGACGACTGAGCCGCATATCCGCCGCTGGCAGCGGGCGACCTCATCTGCGGTCCTTCTAGCTTTGTCATTGGGTGAAGCATCCAATCATCAGCAGTAACACTCTCAATGCGCCCCGGTAACTTAGCTGATTCATACTTCATGCTGCTCATGTTCATATAGGGCGATGTCTGCATGGGTACGGCGCTCAAGGGCTTGTCGCTTGCAAAGGCGCTGGGGCAGGATGTGCCGGCAGCAGCTGAGAGGCTCGGCTCGGCTTGCTGGCGCGCTTCATCAAACATGATACCAGAGGCGAGATGCTGCTCTATTGACTTGACAGACGGCGAAGCTGGGTGAAGAATGGATTGGGGATTGAATTGGGAATTTCCGGATCCAAGTTTCCAAGGGCCGGCCGAGCTGCAGTAATGGTCCAGGAGCCCATGTCTGGGGATGGATGTGGTCGCCAGGGCAACGGACCTGCGCGCAAACGTCCCACTAATAAGCCCGCGCCTATCGGCCTTGATGTGGCAGCTTAAAACAGCCCCGGGCGATGTCTCGAGACGGCGGCCAGGAACAAAGAGGGTGCTGGTTCTGGGAGAGATCCGCAATTGGGCATTGCCCGTGAGGACGGATGAGCTGTCGGCCTGCTACTGGCTTCGCATGCTGATGCTGCCGAAGCTTGCGGAGCTCTCGATGCACTCTGTACAAGCACGTTCATATGTATGTACAAGCTCCTAGCCAAACCCGGGTTCTCGAGGTGAGGCATGTGATGAAGACGTTATGTACTCTAATGAAGCGATCAACACCACACTGCAGATCAGCATATCCGCATGCTCACTGAGCGCCGTGCATGCTGAGGCAGCACTTGTGGCATAGTACTAGTATTCGTAGGGCAACGCGAGACGGATTGACACCCTTGGCAGGACAACTGAGTGAAACCATGTCTCACTCCGAGATTGATATCTCACCCTCACCTACACTAGGCAGGTAGAGTGTCTGCGTCTGTGTTTCTTCTGCCAATGCATCCCTTGAAGCAGCTGCACACGGACGAAGGACGCCAGCACTCTGTCAGCCAATTGTTTTCCCCCGTGAAGAAGAGAGCCCCAAGAGCCCTCTGCGCTGTTGTTTCCCTTCTCGCCGAACGTATCAGATGCAAAGGTAGCCGCCTACTGTACCTACTAGACGACACTATTGCCTCAGGACAATTGACTACCTACCTAGGTATCCGACACACCCCGGCGTCTCCGTTCTCTATCGGCGATAATAATAAAAACATGCAACAGCTTATTGTTTTCGACCTACTACTACAGTACGTGAAGAACAAGGCCCTGCAACGACTAGATTGCAGCTGACGCGCGCGCCATGGCAACGCAGATTCGGCAGCGATTGGATCTTCCATCCCCTGCTGCTCTCTCTCCCCCCCCCCCTTGTCATAAACATCTACCGCGACTACTGCTCCTTCTAGTAATATTTATCGACGTCACCATACGGTCAAAAAGGTGTGTGATGTGTCCAAAAGCGGAAATTGCCCGGCGAGTAATTTCGTCTCGGGGGGGGGGGGGGGGGGGGGGGGGGGGGGGAGAGCTGATTATCAGCACAATAACAGAAAAAATAAATAACATGGTCAGAGGAAGCGCCTAACAATCTAAGTGGGCGGTGCTCAGTCGAAGGGACATGGGTAGGGAGAGTGAGAAGAGAGAGAGAGAGAGAGAGCGGGAAAATTTGTAAACATGATGATGCGTGTTGACGGGGGGCCAGTAGGAGGGCTGAGCGGTTTGTCTTGGCGGCTGGTTTGAAGCTGTCAACAGACAATGGACGACTTTTGACTAGATTAATTGGAGGGATTGGATGTCGTTGGTTGGGGGATATGGCGCAGAAAACATCCGTAGCAAAGGCAAAAGCCATGCCGCGCGGGACGGGAGCGAGTGGCTGCATGGCTGGAACACGCCACTGTGAAGCCACTGCCGCCGGCTCATGGGACTGCTTGCTATGTTGCTTGCTTGCTACATGTGCGAGATTGTAGTAGTAGTGGTGGTGGTGGAGATATGAGAGGGAGAAGGGAGTGCGCATGCAGTCACAGTTCTTGAGGGCTTGTCCACTCTTGGTCACCAACATGTACTGTAAGTTGGCAGCGTGAACAATCATGCTTGTAGTAGCACTACAGGCATAGGTACAAATTGCAGATACTAAGTCAAGAGTGCTACTGCTACTGCTACTGCCGCTGCTGCTGCGACATGTCAAGCATTGATGGCTCCCATGTTGCTGCATCGAGCTGCATGAGAAAATATGGAGTATCCTGGTCCCGGAGCAAGGTCTAGCTCGAGAAGCTTGAGGCATGACATCGTCACCGAAGAAAAAGAAGGCATGAGTGGACTCCACAAGGCTTTTCAAGCTGGTTTAAAGTGCGTGCTTCTCAGGATTCGGGAAATGATGTATCTCATTCGCGAGGCAGCAAGTCGACATGGGTTCCAAGAACTCGCGGCGGGACGCATCAGGCAACTTGTGATTGACAGAGCTCGCATAAGATATGTAAGCTGGCTAAGGTATTATTATAGTAGTAGTAGTTGTGCTAATAGTATCATGAGTTGCGGGAGCTGAGAGGCAACATGAATCATGCATGTACGCAACACACTGGACTCACATGACGAGGCACGGCATCATGCGGTCTGTTGCCTTGGTTTGATCGGATAGTAGTAGTATTCAAGTCCCACATTCTGATGACGATGAGCAACCGTCGTCTCTCTGATGAGCTGCTGCAATATGGTATCTACGTCTGGTGCTACGAAACACGTGCTTGACGTATATCCACCTAGTGTACCTGTTGATCATGGGGGCAACTGTTCATCCCAAGTCTGTGGATTGCCAGGTAACAACCTATTTCTTCCTTATGTAAGGTAGTCGTTTTACTAGAGAGTGTGAAAGCTTAGAGCAAGATTGGAGTGAGCTGGTGTGAGGTGGTGTGAGGTGCTCTCTGCATCTGTTGGCACGCAGGGTCATAGGTAGGAGATAACTTGAGGAACCTGGCAGATCACTCGCACGATCTGTAAAGCATACCTTACCTAGGTATGCAAGGTACTGAACACCTAGGTACAGATGCGCAGTCTCCAAGCAACAGGTAGACTCATCTACGGCGACTCCATCCTCCTACAGCCGATCCGACCTCCCTGAGCAGCTTCCATGTTGTTGAGCACCTGCAGCACTGCCTACATGTAGGCCGGCCTACTGCTGCGCGTGCTCGTGCACCAAGTCCCTCCTCCACATGCAGTGGCCCACGATGGGAGTTTCCGGGTTCCATTGAGGTTGCCCATTGACGGCGGCCTGCTTCGGGCGCTACAGGCGCTACAGACCCCCCAAAGCCGCCTGTAAGCTGCGCTGCTGGCCAGCACGAGTCACCGGGCGCGCCAACCCAAACGGTCAAGACTACCTACAGGTAGGTCGCCTGCACCTGAGGTGGTTCGTCCTGCTGCCTGAGCCAGTAGGAAATGCCCCAAAAAAATAGCACTTCAAGGGTGCAGGGGTCAACGGCCTGGCCAGGGCTCGATATCTGGTGACCGCCCGACCTTTCGACTTCATTTCGTCACCCTTGAAAATCCCTCCCTCGCCTGTCATTGGCTGCTCTCTGCCTGACTCGGGAAAATCTGCTTCCAGGGAAATCCAAGTCCGTTTTCGCCTTCTTTTTTTTCTATTGCTTTCTCTGTCCAGCGACGACGACGACGACGACGCACCCTTGTTTTCTTGGTTCTCTTTCGCCAGCAATCTCATTGACGCCGAGTCGCGGACCGCAGCCATGTCGATGGTAAACGCCTCCAGAGGGAACGCCCCGAGCCGGAACCAGCCTCGGAGCACCACCCCGTTCAACAATGCCGGCCCGGCCATCGCAACGTCCGGCATCCCTCGTCCCGTCCTCGAGCCCCAGCAGCCCAGCGAGCAGAGCTCGGCCAGTCTGAGCGCGAGCAGGCAGAAGCAGTCCAAGCGCGATGAGGTACGTTGAGCCGTCTCTGCTGTAGCTTTGCCCTCGAGCCTTGTGGAGAGATGGGAAGAAGGTGGAGGGGAGGGGAGGGGGGGAGAAGAGCTGCTCAACAACCCGTCGGTCGCAGTTGGGCGTTCTCCTAGCTAACGCGCGCATCATGTAGGCGATTCGCAGGAAAATGGAGAACGATCTCTCCAAGAAGAAGACTCTCACGGGCCGGTCACGACAGATTCGCAGGGCCCCTCCCGGGACTGTGCTTGCCCTCAAGCCGAGCCAGGCCCTCCAGATCAAGCCGGCCACCACCGTTTCCGAGGCCGCTCAGCTGATGGCTGCGAAGAGGGAGGACTGCGTGCTGGTCACCGACGACGAGGACCGCATTGCCGGCATCTTCACGGCCAAGGATCTCGCCTTCCGCGTGGTTGGCGCCGGGCTCAAGGCCGCCAACGTCACCATCGCCGAGATCATGACCAAGAACCCCCTCTGTGCCCGGACCGACACCAGCGCGACGGATGCGCTGGACCTGATGGTCCGCAAGGGCTTCCGCCACCTGCCCGTCATGGACGAGAACCAGGACATCTCGGGTGTGCTGGACATTACAAAGTGCTTCTACGACGCCATGGAGAAGCTGGAGCGCGCATACTCGTCCTCGCGGAAGCTGTACGACGCCCTCGAGGGCGTGCAGTCGGAGCTGGGCGCCAGCCAGCCGCAGCAGATTATCCAGTACGTCGAGGCTCTCCGGTCCAAAATGTCGGGGCCCACCCTCGAGTCTGTCTTGAACGGCATCCCACCGACGACGGTCAGCGTCCGGACCTCGGTCAAGGAGGCTGCGGCCATGATGAAGGAGAACCACACCACGGCGGTGCTGGTGCAGGACCAGGGCGCCATTACGGGCATTTTTACCAGCAAGGACGTCGTTCTCCGTGTCATTGCTCCAGGCCTCGACCCGGCCAATTGCAGCGTCGTGCGTGTCATGACCCCTCACCCCGATTTTGCCCCAATGGACATGACCATTCAGGCCGCCCTGCGAAAGATGCATGGTAAGCATTTCTACAAGCTTCTCCCCAATCCGGCCTCAGATTCAGTGCTCTCATCCTAGCCCTTCTTCATGGCTTGCATTTTGTTTTCGTATTTTCCCTTTCCGTGCCCAGGAACCGCAAAATCATGTTCAAGCGTGTGCCTAACAACCATGTTTCAGATGGCCATTATCTCAACCTTCCCGTCATGAACGACGGCGGCGAGATTGTGGGCATGGTGGACGTGCTCAAGCTGACTTATGCCACGCTGGAGCAAATCAACACCATGTCGAGCGACAACGGTGAGGGTCCGGCGTGGAACAAGTTCTGGCTCTCCATCGACCACGAGACGGAGTCGATGCTGTCTGGCGACGGCAGCCACAGCCACCACCACCACCATCTCGGGTCTCGTATGATGTCGCCCGAGGCGAACCGTCTTGGAGACAGCGTCGCGCCCAACGATTCCGCATCCCATATAGGAATGGACTCGCCCCCTCGGTCCGTTGCTCCCGACGTGACGACTGCCGATGTTCCGTTCGCCTTCAAGTTCAAAGCGCCTTCGGGACGTGTGCACCGGCTACAAGTGGTTGCCTCGCAGGGCATCGAGGCGTTTGTGCATGCCGTCGCATCCAAGCTGGGACACGAGGTGGAGAGCATCGGAGGCATGCCGGAGGTTTACGAGGGCAGGATTGAAGGCGGTGGCTTTGCCCTCAGCTACATGGACAACGAGGGTGACACCGTGTCCATCACCACGGACAACGATCTCCTCGAGGCCATCCTCCTGGCCCGCCAGGCGCATCTCGAAAAGGTCGACCTCTTCGTTCACGACTCGGAGAAGCCACCCACCACGCCGTCAGTGGACGCCCTACCCACTCCCGCTTCGTCATCTACCGGTCTTCGCGAGCGACGGAGGACCACCTATGAGGAGGAAGAGTCCGAGAGCGAAGAAGAGGAATCTGAGGAGGAGGAGGAGCGGCCTGCGCGCCGGACGCGGAGGTCGAGGACGGTTGTCCACCAGGAACAGCTCATTGCCGGCGTGCCCAACGACCTGCTGCTGCCCGGAGCCATTGTCACCCTTGCGGTGGTTATTATTGGTGTTTTTACTATTGCCAGAGCGACTAGCCGGTAAAAGAAAGCAATGTATCCCCTTTGAGTGGGGTTTTGTTTCATGATGACCTTATGAAGAAAAGTTGGTTGGCATTGGTAACTGTAGACTTCTCGACCAGAGACAGATCGTCATAGAATCAGGGTTTTCCCTTTCTCTCTATTCGTTTTTATTGCTGTATTTCTTTCTTTAGTACGTCATTGTTGATGAAATGCCAGATTGAGTATTTGTGCATCATCAGTGTCATGATTCTATGCTTCCTGGCGCCCTGATATGGAAGAATTGGCGATGCAAAATGGGCGTGTAAATCACAAGCCACGACGTGGGGTTAATTGCGTTGGTGGGCAGTTTCATGGCGGGTTGGTGGGGTTAGTAGTAGCAGCTCATAGAGGAATACCTAGGTACATACGGTATTACGAGTACCACAGCAAAACCCGGAGCGGAACCGGAAAATGTGCGCCGCCGTGGAGGTTTCATTGATAGCGGCGTGATCCAAATTTTGGACGCCGGCAGAGCATTGAAGGTCGGACGGCAGCAGCAGCGCAACGATTCGAGCCGTCATGAATGTCCAGAGCGCTGCTGTGCGGCATGGTAAGTCCAATTGAGGTCCGAGGGAGTCAAGGACGATAGAACCAAGACAGAGGGATGTGAGGGGCGCGGGAAAATGTATGCTCATGAGTTCTTCCTAGGCCGCCGCGCACTCTCATCTCCTCTGCCCAGAGCCGCTCTGCGGCAACTCTCGACCGACCTGAAGACGACGACAGCAGCGGCTACGACCTCGAATGGACAGTCCCAGGCATGGCCGTCTCCGCAGGCCGCCCCCGCACCACTCAAGATTGTCTCTTCGGCGAAGAAGAAGCAGAAGATTGTCGAGGAAGTCATCATGACGCTCGGAGCCAACTCGTCGCAGGAGCACCACGGCGTCGCATGGACAAGGCCTCACCAGAAGGGCAGCCAAACCCTGACGCCCGCGCAGCAGTATGCCGAATTCCTGCGGATTCAGCGCAACACGAGAAGCCTTGGCTCGGACGTCGAGAAGCGCTACGTGCCCACGGAGATTATCAGCAACCCGCCGCGGCCGGAGGATATTACGCTGGAGCTGCTGATGGCGTCGCAGACGCACATGGGGCACAACACGTCGCTATGGAACCCGGCCAACTCGCGGTATATCTACGGTGTGAGGCAGGGGATTCACATCATCTCGCTGGAGACGACGGCGGCGCATCTGCGACGGGCGGCGAGGGTCGTCGAGGAGGTGGCGTATCGGGGTGGCATCATTCTCTTTGTCGGCACCCGGAAGGGGCAGATGGAGATTGTCACCAAGGCATCTGAGCTGGCGGGTGCGTACCACCTGTTTACCAAGTGGACCCCTGGCGCAATCACAAATCGAGATGTCATTCTGAGGATGCAGGGCACGAGGGTGGTGGACCATTTGGACAGGGAGCTTGACGGGTTCGACATGTTCAAGGGGACGGCGAGGCCGCTGATGCCTGACCTGGTGGTGTGCCTTAACCCGCTGGAGAACTACACGCTGCTGTATGAGTGCGGGTTGAAGAACATTCCTACGATTGGAGTGATTGATACAAACGCCGATCCATCATGGGTTACGTACACGATTCCAGCAAACGACGACAGGTGAGTTATTGATCCCGGATCCTATTGCTGTCGGATTCACTTGCTTACGCCAACGTCACCATAGTCTTCGTTCAATGGCTCTGGTTGCGGGAGTCCTTGGTCGAGCCGGAGAAGCTGGTCAGAAGCGACGGCTCCAAGATGCCGCTAGAGGCGAAATCTCATGGGAGACCTCACCAGAGCTCAGCCGCCACATGAGGAAGGAAGTCCAGGCCGCCGTCACCAAGCGAAAGGAGGTCATGGGCCAGATGCAGTCCAACATCCAGGGCTTCACCGATGAAGAGATGAAGCTGCTGAGGTCTCAGTATCTGGGGGAGCAGCAGCAGGAGGTTTCCGAAGACGACCTGGTCAACATGTTGGGCCAGACAGTCGCGGCAGAGCCAGAGGCGTCGGCGGAGCAGGCGGCGTCGTCGGAGTGGACGATGGGTGTGATGCTGGGCAGCATCGAGGCGCAGCTGAGGGGTGTGCAGGAGAGCGCTGCTGAGATTGAGAAGGCCGTGAAGGGAAGTTCATAGGATACCTACACCTATCTGGAGGCATATAAGTGCAACTAGGTAGTATAAAGTACTAGATGATGGGAAACGGGGAAGAGAGGCGTCATATGAACCTGTATAATAGATGTATATGCATGATGGAATGAGAAGAATGCTATTCGGGAAGGTACCGCAAGGCTGCTGGACAGGTGCTTGCGGTCGGCCAGTACGCTTGGCGGTTGGCAGGTGCAGCCCATAGGTTGTTTCCCCAAATCCGGGAATCGCCTCGCTATCAATTGCTCTCCTACATTCTCCATCTTCCCTTCTTCTTTCTTTTCATCCTCTACCTTTTCTGTCTCTCCATCGCACTATCATTTGCGCAATGATCTCTTTGGTCTTGTATCATCATCTCATCTTTGGCCATCTCTCTCTGCATCCTGCTCCTCCGATCCTGTTACGCATCATCTTCCGCAGCTTCAAACCCAATATATGCGTCTACCTGGCTTCCGACCTGCCTATTTGTCACTCTCCGGAATATCGACGGCGTTACAACTGGTCCTTTATGGATCTGATCAGGAGGTGTTTCCGACTTGCGGTGATGTTGCTCTTCTACATCTCGGCTGTCATTGCCAGTCGTCGTTATCAGTCAAGCCCGGAACAAGCAGTCGAGGACATTGCATCCATAATGCGATTGAGTATGAGCATAGAAACACCATTCCATCCATCTGGAGACTTGGTAAGAACTCTTTCATTTCACCCTTCTTTTTGTCTCCGTTCACTCAAGTTGTGCCCCTTCTTTTTCTCACATCTGCTCGCCAGCTTAACCTACAAGCCCAAGGCATTTGGCCAAGCGCGGCACTCGAAGCAGCGGAGAAACCGTCCTTCCGAATGCCCATGACAAGGTACCGACGAATACCTTTTTACCCGCCCACACACAACGCAAACCTCAAGTCTCGCCAAAAGTCACGCCACACCAGCAAAGCGCCTCCCGCTTAAGAACCTCTTTTGGTCCGAGCAGAACGTCGCACGACGAACTTTTCAGCACGAAGACCTTTTTTTTGCTACCAACCGAACCCAGGCGCAAAAAAATAGCGAGAGACGCACACAGGAAGCTGAAGCCGCCACTTCAGAGAATCGAGCAGCCTATTGGGAAGCTCCTTATCGGCAAATTTCATTAAGCTTCTTGGGGGTATGACGGCAACGGGAGGAAGAAGCTGAAGACGAGGCAAGAACGCAGAAGAGGCAGATCTGAGCTGAAGGAGACTGAATCTTTTGCTCTTTTGTTCGGTTTTCTTTTTTTTCTTTGGTTTATTTTTTTTATTCCTCATTCTTTTTTTTGGGACCTGTTGCTGGGGCTGCATATTTTTCTCCCCCTTTGCCGCGCTACAGATGCGCTGGCGGGACGTCACTTTCTGACAGGACCACGAAAAAAACCCCTAGCCGCCTTTTCTTCTCTCCTTCAAGGTTACCCTACCTTACCTCACCTTTCTGCGCTTTCCTTTGTCTTCCCGCCCTGCAGCCTGTAGGGGGGTTGCTTGTCTGCACGGCACTTTGGCTGGGCCAGTCTATCGGGGGAGATTAGGTACTGGTTTCCTGCAGTTGATTTGTTCGGTTTGGCGTTTCTGTCTTGCCTGCTGCAGAGGAATATTTCCGGATTGTTTCCCGTTTTGGAGGGTGTCGTTCCTTCAAGGCATCCTCGGCCACCTGAACCTCCATGGTATGTGCTTTTTCTTCACTTCATTCGTCCTTCTCTTCTGATCCCCCCTTTTGCCCGGCGACAATGATCTATTCCACACCACCTCATCCCCAATTGGTCCCCTTTTTCCCTCCCCCCCTTCGCCCCAACTTCCTCTTCTCTTCTTCTCCATTTCCCACCTTCGTCTCGTCCCCCCCTCGCTTCAAATGACGTAGCCCATGGTGGTGAAAGAGGGCCACGATTCCCTCGACGGGCTTTTTGGAGTTGTTTCAGCGGGCCTCGTGGCTGATTATCAAATCCGGGCAAATGCACAGAGCATCTCTGGGTGACCAACAGCTTTTCTTTTCTCTCCACCCCCCTTTTTTCCCTTATATCCTAAAATAAGGCCGACGCACACGCTACTGCTCCCTCTCTCTTTTTAAACCCGTCGGTCACCATCATCCGGCTCAGCCTTCCCGAAAACGATGCCGGCCGCCGTCGATGACCCGACCGGCCCCACAATCCATCGGGTCTCCGGCCAGCCTCCGTTCCCGGACCCGAACAACCCGGTGCTGCCGCCGGACATCGTGCCTCGTCGGGTGACACTAAGAGACCGGCAGACGGTGGCGACGATTGTGCCGCTGGCGTCGCGGCACCAGGTGCCCGCATCGCTGGCGGCGTACCTGTGCGCGCAGATCAACAAGGAGATTGACGGCGGCGACACGTACCCCTTGATGGACGCCTTTACCACCGACGCCTTTGCCGACTTCTGGTTCCAGAACTTTGGCGCCGTCATGCTGCTGGGGCACATTGAGAGCGCCGACAAGGTGCCTGATGGCGCCGACTGGGCCAAGGAGTGCCTGGGCAGCTTCTACATCCGACCCAACTACCCGGGCCGCAGCAGCCACGTCTGCAACGGCGGCTTCCTTGTCACCGACGCGTCCCGCAACCGCGGCGCCGGCCGGTTGATGGGCGAGGCCTACATTGACTGGGCGCCGCGGCTGGGCTATACGTACAGCGTCTTCAACCTCGTCTACGAGACCAACGTAGCGTCGTGCAAAATCTGGGACGCCCTGGGCTTCAAGCGCATCGGCCGCGTCAAGGGCTGCGGCAGCCTCAAGAGCTACCCGGGCCGCTTCATCGACGCAATCATCTATGGCCGCGACCTGGCCCCCGGCGGCGAGGAGATAGCGGAGGAGCTGGTGATTGAGGAGCGCTTCGACAAGATCAAGTACTACCTCAAGTACGGCAAGTACCCCAACGGCGCCGACCGCGCCGAGAAGAGCCGCCTGCGTAGCGCCGCCACGCACTACAAGCTGCTCGATGGCGACAAGCTCATGCTCAAGGATAAGGAGGTCATCTCGGACCCGCAGCGGCAGTACGAGATTGCGCGCAGCGTCCACGTTATGCATCACGGCGGCATCAACAAGACCACGGCCACCATCGCCGAGAAGTACCACTGGAGCCGCATCAAGGAGACCGTCAGCGACGTCATACGCGCCTGTCCCGAGTGCAAGGAACTCGGCAAGACGCCCAATCCGGGTGGCACCAAGAAGGCGGCAGCCGGTGCGTCGTCTTCCGCTGTTGCTGCTGCCGCCGCCGCCGCCACAACCACCACTGCTTCTTCCTCTCCTTCGTCGGCGCCAACGCCGGCTCCGGCTCCGGTGCCGGTTTCGATGATGACCGCCGCTACCCCTGTGGCGACAACGACGCCCACGCCAACGCCCATCCTGCCGAGCAACGGCCCGCCCCGGAACCACACGATGCCGCCGAGCATGGGGACCACGGGCCGGATCCTGGCGCTGCAGAGCCACGAGTCTATGCTATCCCTGTCGCCGAGCTCGAGCCCGAGTCCCGGCGCGTACGCCAACCCGAGCGACATCTCTGTCATCCCGCCATCGCAGACGTTTCAGCCCGCGCAGGTGCTGCATCATCACCCGCAGCAGCCGCAACACCCTCAGCAGCAGCAGCAGCATCACCACCACGGCCTGCCCCCCGAAGCGCACCACCATCATCACCACCTGCAGGCGGCACTGCATCACCATCATCAGCAGCAGCAGCAACAACAGCAACAGCAACAGCAGCAGCAGCAGTCTCCGCTTCACCACCCGGGCGTCCACCATGCGCCGCACCACCACCACAACCCCATGCTGCAGGACCAGCCGAACCAGCACGAGGCGCACGTCTATCAGCCTATCGACCCGCAGATTATAAATCACCATCCTCATCACCCGCAGGCGCATCATGACATGGCCTTTGAGCATTACCATCCTCATTCTGATTTCCAGGCTTTACTTAGCGCCACGGAAGATGTTCCCACGCAACCTGATGACTCCGTTGCGCCGTCTGTGGATACGGATTTGGAGATGCTCATTGAACATGATGCCGTCGACGACGACGATGACGCTGTCGTCGGACAGGCTGATCACATCATGGATGAGGATGCCATGGTCGATGGGCTCGGCGGGGGACCGCAGGTGATGAGGAGGATAGGACACAGAGATGGTAGGGGGATGTACGACGTCAACTTTGGCGGTCCTGCTGGCTAAGCCCCTGTCTCATTGTCCGTCTCTTCCCCAATTCCAAGTCATAACTCGCATCTTGTTCTTTGCAATTTCAGCTTGCTGTTTCTGGGGTAAGTGTTACTTTTTATCGACTCATATTGCATCGCTGAGAGTTGGGGGAGTTTGTCGTTTGCTTTCGGAGTTGGCAAAAAAAAAAAAGAATTCAAAAACGACTGTCGAACCTGTTTTACAAGGGAGTGTTGGGAGCGAGTTGAAACGATGACGATGATGATGGATGACGATGGCATTGAATTATCATGGCGATGCGATGAAATGAAATGAAAGTTGTGCGCGTTGTATATACTTATTCTGATGTAGTTTGGTGCGAACGCGGGGATTCTAGGAGGAGGGAATTGATTGATAGACTTGGCCATATAGATTTTGTCACATTGCAAGCAATCAAAAAGAAACAAAAAAAAAAAAAATTACATTCCTCTTTATACATGAAGACCGTGCTGTATCAGACGCACACTACCATCTCTTGATTTTGGCCACAAAGGTTTATCTGGAAATGAAAAGTAGCCCCTGAAACTACATGGCGATGCAATCAGAGTCGTCGGAAAAAAAAGTTCATGTCAAGTTCTCTAGTAGATAGCAGAGGCCATTTCTAGGTATCTTACAGATCCTCAAAACCTCCCAATTCATTTTTCTTCCTTGATTCTTTTGGTTTTGTCAAATGCTTCAATCCCCCCTCCTTCCCCGCTCAACCCACCTTATTCAATTCCATTCCCCCTTTCCCCTAATCTACCGTCGAGGCATGCCCCGTCCTCTGCCTCTGAGCGCCCTCTGCGCCGCTCCGGGCGGGAGCTGCCCCGGCGCCTGGGGCTGGGCGCTCTCCTCGTTCCGGATGGTCTCGTCGACGCCGAGGATGAGGCAGGCGGCCTCGGTGGCGGCCTGGAGGGCGTTGACCTTGATGAGGGCGGGCTCCCAGACGAAGCGCTCGAGCATGTCGGCGGTGCCCTCGTTGGCGAAGTCGACGCCGGCCCAGGTGTTGCCCTTGCGGTGCTCGACGCGGAGCTTGTTGAGAATGTCGGTGGCGTCGAAGCCGGCGTTGTCGCACAGCTGGCGCGGGATGATCTCGAGGGCCTTTGCAAAGGACTTGATGATGGCCTGCTGCTTGTGCGGGATGTTCTTGTCGGCGAACTGGTGCAGGTAGGCCGAGACCTCCATCTCGACGGCGCCGCCGCCGCCGACAATGGTCTTGTTCTTGACGGCGCGCTTGACGATCATGATGGCGTCGTGCAGCGACCGCTCGACCTCGGCGATGAACTGCTCGGCGCCGCCGCGCAGCACCAGGGTGCACGTCTTGGCCTCGGGGCAGCCCTCGAAGAAGTTGTAGCGCTCGCCGCCGATCTGGCGCTCCTCAAAGTGCTCGCAGGTGCCGAGGTGCTCGGGCAAGATGTCGGAGCACGTCGACTGGACGACGGCGCCGGTGGCCTGGGTGACGCGCTCCATGTCCTCGGAGGCGACGCGGCCGGCGCAGAAGACGTCGCGGTCGGCAAAGTACTGCGTGGCCAGGTCGCCAATGGGCAGCTTGCTGAGCACCACCTTGGCGCCCGTCTTGGAGATGGCCTCGAGCTTCTGGTAGATGATCTGCCACTCGGCGTCGACAATGGCCTGGTATTTCGACACCTGCTCGACGCGGACCTCGGCGTTGTCCTTTTCCGCCTTGAGCTCCAGCTCGACGTTGAGGCACACAATCTTGGGCTTCTGGAACGACTTGGGCTGCTGCTCGAATCCGGCGTAGGCAAACGTCTTCTTGAAGGCGACGCCGTTGACGAAGCGTGACTCGGTCAGGGAGCCGCCGGGGATCTTCTTGATGCCAATCAATTTCTCGTTGAGATCGTCTTGGTCGAGGGATAGGACGGCGTCAACCACCACTGCGAACACACGATTGTTAGCTTTTTTTTTCTTGTTATGAAACACTTGTCATCATCCATCCCCATCTGGTATTCCATCATCCACGGGTCATGTATAGCCTCGGGGGGGAGAATGGGGGAGGAGGTAGTCAGTCCCTACTCTTTGTGAAGAACTCAGTGTTTCGCTTAATCAGCTTGCTCGTCATGGCGGTGGCGGCGAGCTTGCTCAGGGTATCGCGCTGGCTGCCGTCCTCGGTGCTGACGGCAATCTCCTTGATCTTGTTGACGGCCATCTGGACCGCCCTCCTCAGGCCCTTGATGATGATCTGTGAGCTGACACCCTGTTCGACGTGCTCCTTGACCTCCTTGAGGATCTCTCCGGCGAGGACGACGACGGAGGTGGTGCCGTCGCCGACCTCTGCGTCTTGTGACCGTGCGATGTCGACGAGGATGCGGGCGGCGGGGTGGACGATGTCGAGGAGCTGTCATCGATGGCATGTTTAGTTGGCATGTCTCTTCTGTCATGTGTAGGTGGTAGAAAGAGGTGTAGATGTATGAGGTATGAGGTATGTGTGTGTGTGTATGTGTGTTTCTGGATATCAGTGGTGTGATGGTTTCTCGTCCGTACCTTCATGACCGTCGCGCCGTCATTTGTAATCGTCTGCTTGCCATTCTGGTCGACCATCAGCAGGTCGCCGCCATAGGGGCCCAGCGTCGACTTGATGGTGGCCTGGACGGCCAGACAGGCATTGATGTTGGAGACGATCTGGCCTTTGCCCTGCGAGGTGTCGGTGCCTGAAAAAAGAGAAAGGTTGCAAAGATGCTCTCGGTCAGCTTCTTGTCTCGATTATCACGAGTTGGCAGCGGTGGGCGGAGGGGTAAAATATCGGACCTTCTTTCAGGACGATGATGGTCGGGGTCTGGCCTCCAAACGACATCTTGGCGGTGTCTGTTGCGTGTGAAAATCAGGGGCCCAAGAGAATGAGGAAAAGAGAGATCGCTTCCGACGAGAGCGAGGCTGAAACGGTGGTGGCTGTTTGCTTGGGAGCGGATTGTAAAAGGGGGGGGGCAGCGGCGGACGTCTTTTCGTCGGGCCTGCGAAGCTGCTTGTTGGAGCTCCGGAAAATTGTTGCAGCCTTGACGATGGGCTTGGGGACGCACGGACCACCTGGCTTAGGTTCTCAGGGACTTTTCAGTGGTTGACTACAGGTGTTATAGCAACTGTAGAACTTCCATGGCATTGAGCCCCTCCAACCCCTTTGGGGCGGGCACTAGAAGCGTCTACAACCCCGCCATGGACAGGACGTTGAATGCCTGAATTTACACTGACCATGGATGATTAACGTTCAAGTGTAATAATGCAGCAGCTGGGAGTTTGGGTATCAACAAGGATGCATCAGATAAGATACTAGCTTCAACATTGCAGCACTGAGCATTCGCCACCAATATATATCACACACAGCACTAGCTATTAGAATTAGGTACATAGGTACGTTGATAAAAAAGACAGTTTGAGCAACTTTACTGTGGACGCGGCGGTTGTGCCTTTCCTCTCCCGGGTGCAGCTTCAAACTTGGCCTTCCAAGCGTCTTCCTGCTTAAACATGGAGACGCACTCCATGGCCGTCGGGCTGCCGTACTCGGGGTCTGCACCGCCTTCTAAAAGGGCCTTATACATAATTTTCGTGTCAGTAAAACAGCATATTGGTTTATGTTGAGGGGGAAGAGGTGGAAAATGCACACACACCTCAATAACGGCATCCTCCTTCTTAAACACGGCCCCAGCAAGAGGACTCTGCCCTCTATCGTTGAGCCGATTCGAGTCGGCGCCGTGCTGTATCAGCAGCCTGACGAGATCTGCGTGTCCGTGATATGCGGCGAGCATGAGCTTGAAACCAAACAGACGTGTGTAAGTCGAGGAGGCACAAGTAGAGAGATATCAAAGGGGGGGAGGGGCGGCGTCTGGCAATTGATGCTTTCTTGGTTTAGCCTCACCAAAGTGTCTCCCTTTTCGTTAGTCAGATTGGGAGGCAGGCCGGCTGGAAGTGCTTGTTCAAACACTGCGATGTCTCCCTTTCTAGCCGAGTCGTACATTTGGCTGGCAAATGCGACGAGTTCCGGCGTGAGGCCTTGCGGTACTCCGGCAGCTTGGCTGTCTGACGGCTGCTGCACGGAGGGGTCCATCTTGTTGGATGTATTATTCGCTGGAAAGCGAGGGCTTGACTTGTCCAGAATGATATGAATCGAGGCAGTCCGTTTAAGGCAGTTTCAGGATAAGTTCAAGCGCTGGACGCTGGGGTTGAAGAAGCCCGAGTTATCGCAATGCTCAGCGTTGGCATATACCAGAGCTGAGATGCCGAGCTCCGAAGGTGCACGTTGAGCGATGACGTCTTGAGGTACTTTGTACAGCCTCGCTCGCGACAAGCTGGGATGATGTTGGGAGTCTACTCGACAATCTCCGAGAGAAAAATGGTAGTAAAATAACAATAATATGGATCGCGACGGATATCAATATCAACCTGATCCTTCAAAACATACATTGACATTGGAAACAACGGACCTTGTGTGTCATTGCCGAGCTTGATGGACGTTTCGTCTCCTTGCCCGTTGTCCAGCACATAATTAATTACCCTGCACTGGTTGAATCAAACAGCCCTCGCCAGCTCAATCACAAAACGTAGAAGAGTACGCCAAGAAGACGGTTCGAATTAATTTGAATTGCTTAATCTAAGAATCAAATTCAATAATAATACATCGCTTGCTCAATTCCATTGCTTGTTCATTCTGGACAAAATCGCCACAAGCGCATCCTGCTTCGAACAGGTCGGTCGGCGCATCGTATCGTCGGCAGTAGAGTAGGAAGAAAAGAGACCCATGGATGGCTTCATCGCCATCGCCGTTCATCAGTACATCGTCTGTGAGAGTATGCTATTGTCACTCAGAGATCGTTCCACCACCATCTATTTTGCAATCAGCAAAAGTCGAAGCCGGCTATACGTTCAGCCTAAACTCACTCATTGTCATCAATCGCATCCCGAGCATCGGCGCCGTCATCCAAGAATTTGGCTTGATATGCCCCCCTCCTCAGTAATCCGCAGTGCCGTCGCCCTCGGTGGTGTCGGGCTCGCTGGGACGAGGCGACTCTGGCTGTGGCGTCTCTGGCCGATGCTGCGGCATCTTTGCGCTCGGCGAAATTGCCAGTGATTGATGCTTTCAAGACAAGGCACGAACTGGATACTAGATAGGTAGGTAGATAGTATGCGTGCGCTTTCTGTCCCTCGCTGGATACTTTTCCGATCGAATTGGTGGCTTGTTGCGAATGCGTCAAAACGTGGCTGTTTGAGAGAAACAATCGATGACCATCGTCAGAAATGAAACAGAAGAGTGAGGGAGGGGGCCTTATATCGCCCCTATCAAGCCTTTATCAAGCTTCCCCCCCTCGAATGGTGAGTTTTGCCATGGCACAGGCAGCTGTCCTCGTGATGAGCATCGTTACGTCAGGAAGTAGCATTTGTGTAGCATCTGTGCGTCTGCCCGCGGCCGGTTGGACAAGCCGTGGACAAATGAGCGAAACACGATGAGCCAGCGTCTCTGTGAGAGGACAATTGGATTGGGGGGGAAAAAAGGCTTGGAAGCAACAGAGACGCCACGCAGGAGTTAGCAGTGGGAACGGGGAGAGATATGAAAGCTAGCATTTGCCTTTTTGTCTTTTTACTATAGTCTAGGTAGGTAACACAGAGATAGTCCGCGACAGCTCTGGGACAGGAATGCCTACCTACCTATCTTGAAGCTACACCTCCTTGGCGGCTTGGGTGTGGCGTCGCCGGCCTCGGCTTGGAGGATTCGAGTGGAATTCTGTCTGTAGTACTGTAGTGACTGTTTGGTGTCAGCCAACATCAAGGGTGATCTGGATGTAACGTGCAACGGAGGCCGCCTCTGTTTCGCTGGCGATGCTGAGGCACTTGATGGGCTGCTCGTATTGGCGAAGCTGTCAAGAGGATACTAGCTCCTGGGTAGGTAATACTAGTAGCAGCTGCCACCGGGCCGGCTTCACATGTGAATTGAGCCGGTTAAACGGTATGCTATTACTGCGTACCCCTTCGTATCGTGGTGTCCAGACTATATTGTTTGCCAAACACTTGCAGTTGCTACTATAGATTGACGGTGGTGGCCATCGCCGATGCCACCCTAACAGATTCACACCTCGACCGGCCTGCCACATGCTAGCGAAGCATCAGCAACCTCTACCTACCTAGTCAAAACCCCCCCCTGTAAGCCCTCGCCTCCAGCTGTCCCAAGCCCCGCCCCCGCCGCTGGTCACCTACAGTAGCAGCTGTGCTAGGGCGCTGCAAGCTGCAGCTTCTGGCGCGCTCGCGGGCCTTTTCTGGGCGCGGTGGTCCGAGGGGTGACGTACGGATCACGCCAGACGGTGATGCGAGGGTGCGCCCAGCTGCAGCATCAGCCAACCTCGTCCGCGCACCAGAACTCTATCCAGCCCGCGTCCCGTCGAATCAGCGTCGCCAATCTCGCAGGATCCCGCAGGACGTCATGGATTCCGAGATGCCGCGTTCCTTCAGACTCAGAGGGTCGGGTCGGGTCCGGCCCCGGCTCTGGCTTCTTGTCTGCAGCCTGCATTGATCCCTGGCGAGCTCTCGTTCGATGGCAACATCGCCTGATATCACCATCGACCCTCTTCTCTCTCTGCACGCCGTCTTTGCTGGCTTCATCGTGCCCTTGCCGTCTTCGTTTTGCCGACAGCTAGGCTGAATCCGTCTCTGCCTGCCTGTCGCTTCGCCGCAAGCTTCGTCGACTTCGGGCAAAAGAGCCTCGTCAGTCTTACTCTAAGACGGCAGTCGGAGCATCCACCAAGGGCTTCACGCAGGTGTGAAGCCATCGCATTGTCTGCAGATCCTCCTAGCTCCGGCCTTTGACAACTTCCGCGTCGGCGGACGCTGTCAGCTTAGCCTCCGCTCGGTCTTTTATATATAAACGGAAGAGGCACGAAGTTCGTATCGGTGATACTCTTTGCCCTTGTGTCCCAGGACAACTCCCATCTTGCTATACACAACTTTTTTCCGTTCCTTCAACCTACCCATACAGCAATGGCCGACGTCCAGTCCATTCGGGCGTTCGGCGTGGCCCGCTCAACAATCAAGGGCAATCCCCTGTCCGACGACGAGATCAAGCAGTACAATGACTACTTCAAGGCCAGCTGCTACCTGGCCTTGGGCATGATCTACCTGAGGGAGAACCCCCTCCTTCGCGAGCCCCTCAAGAAGGAGCACTTGAAGGCTCGTCTGCTCGGCCACTTTGGTTCCGCTCCCGGCCAAATCTTCACATATATGCACTTCAACCGTCTCATCAAGAAGTACGATTTGGATGCCTACTTCGTCTCCGGCCCCGGCCACGGTGCTCCGGCCGTCCTTTCGCAATCCTACCTCGAGGGCGTCTACTCAGAAGTCTACCCCGACAAGTCACAGGATGTCCAGGGTCTCCAACGATTCTTCAAGTACTTTTCTTTCCCCGGCGGTGTTGGATCTCACGCAACCCCCGAAACTCCAGGCTCCATCCACGAAGGAGGGGAGCTGGGATACTCCCTTTCACATGCCTTTGGCTCTGTCTATGACTACCCCAACCTCATCGCCTTGACCATGGTGGGTGATGGTGAGGCAGAAACCGGACCCCTGGCCACTGCTTGGCACAGCAACAAGTTCCTCAACCCCATCACCGACGGCGCTGTTCTTCCCGTGCTTCATCTCAACGGATACAAGATCAACAACCCCACGATCCTGGCCAGAGTCTCGCACGAGGAGCTCAAGGCCCTCTTCCACGGCTATGGATGGACTCCTTACTTTGTCGAGGGAGATGACATCGACACCATGCACCAGGCCATGGCTGCCACCCTCGAGCACTGCGTCAACGAAATCAGGCGCTACCAGAAAGAGGCCCGCGAGACCGGAAAGGCCGTCCGGCCATTGTGGCCTATGATCGTCCTGCGAACGCCAAAGGGCTGGACTGCGCCCCGCAAGGTGGACGGCAACTACCTCGGAGGCTTCTGGAGAGCGCATCAGGTCCCCATCACCGACCCTTCCACAAACCCCGAGCACCTCAAACTCCTCGAGAACTGGATGCGCAGCTACGAGCCCGACAGGCTCTTTGACGAGAGCGGAAAGCCCATTGCCTCCTTGACCTCGCTGCCCCCGACAGGCAACCGCCGCATGAGTGCCAATCCCGTCACCAACGGCGGTATCCTCAGAAAGCCCCTGCAGATGCCCGACTTCAAGAAGTACGGTGTTGCCGTTGAGCACCCTGGCGCTGTCATGGATGCTAGCATGCAGAAGCTGGGAGTTTTCCTGCGAGATGTTGTTGCTGCAAACCCCCACAACTTCCGCCTCTTTGGCCCCGACGAGACAGAGTCAAACAAACTGTCTGCTGTGTACCAAGCGGGCAAGAAGGTTTGGATGGGCGAGTACTTTGAGGAGGACGAGAACGGCGGCAACCTTGCCCCAGCCGGCCGGGTTATGGAAATGCTTTCAGAGCACACCTGTGAGGGATGGCTGGAGGGCTACATTCTCAGTGGCCGTCACGGCTTGCTGAACAGTTACGAACCCTTTATCCACATCATCGACTCCATGGTCAACCAGGTGAGTTTAGTAGCAACCATCACAGTCTTCACATGTGATTTACCACTAACGCATTTCACAGCACTGCAAGTGGTTGGAAAAGTGTTTCGAGGTGGAATGGCGTGTCAGGGTCGCCTCTCTCAACATTCTCTTGACATCCGTCGTCTGGAGACAAGACCACAACGGCTTCACTCACCAAGACCCCGGGTTCCTGGATGTTGTTGCCAACAAGAGCCCAGAAGTTGTCCGCATCTACCTTCCTCCCGATGGAAACTGCCTGCTTTCTGGTAAGCATGCCTTTCACCTCCCTCGTAAAGGTGAATTCAATGCTAACTAACGTCTCATGTAGTCATGGACCACTGTCTCCGGTCCTCGAATTACGTCAACGTCGTCGTGTCTGATAAGCAGGAGCACCTTCAGTACCTCGACATGGACGCCGCCGTGGCTCACTGCACAAAGGGCATCGGCATCTGGCCAAGGTTCTGCACCGACATCGGACAGGAGCCCGATCTCGTCATGGCTTCGTGCGGTGACATTAGCACTCACGAGACACTGGCAGCCATTGACCTGCTGCTCCAGCACTTCCCAGAGCTCAAGATCCGCTACGTCAACGTCGTGGACCTGTTCAAGCTGATCCACCCAAGCGAGCACCCCCACGGCCTCAGCGACAACGAGTGGATCAGCCTGTTCACGGCAGACACGCCCATCATCTTCAACTTCCACAGCTACCCCTGGATGGTGCACCGCCTGACGTACAAGCGGCCGGGAAGCCAGAACATCCACGTCCGCGGCTACAAGGAAAAGGGCAACATCGACACGCCTCTGGAGCTGGCCATTCGCAACCAGACGGATCGTTTCAGCCTGGCCATTGATGCCATTGACCGCATGCCGCATCTGCACAACAAGGGCGCGGCTGCTCGCCAGGCCATGCTGAATGCCCAGATTGAAGCCCGAAACGAGGCGTTTGAGAAGGGCATGGATCCAGAGTATTTGACAAAGTGGACGTGGAAGCGCGATGGTCTGTGGAACAAGCACAAATAGAGAGAGAGAGAGAGAGGCCAGTGGGCGTGGGAAAGAAAATGGATAAGACGGAGTTTCAAGAATGACAAATGTTTATATATCTTCTTAGACCTACTAATGGCGGTGGTCGTGCCATTTTGATACATACTGGTATTTTCAAAGTGGATGTTCTCGGTTTGTCTCAACTTGGATCGTCACTATCAGGATTGATTTAATTGTTTGTATGGGATGATGAAACACAATCTGGACAGCGTATCTTTCTTTGACCAAGATACTGAAAGACGAATCTGCTCGTATAGGAATCAATGACCTGTAAACCCCGACTTGCCTTGGCATGATTCCTTACCCATGGTTTTCCTGTTGCTTGAGCGGTCCTTGCAATCAGAAACGCACTGACAAGTCGGCACCTAGAATCTAGATCGTGTATTTATTCCCGTTGGGATATCTTTCCATTCAATCTCGTCTCTGTCGTAATCATCCATGCCATGTTACCTCATCTCCTCTAATCTTCTTCCCCCCGACATGCCAATCACTCAGTGCCACCCAGGAACCCGCAGGACCTGCCCCGGGTAAATCATGTCCGGGTTCTGGATCCCGTTATGCCTCGCAATCTCCTCAAACGAAGTCCCATACCGCGCCGCAATGCCCCGCAGCGTATCGCCAGCCTGCACGGTGACCGTGCCGCCGTGGCCGCGCGACCTGGATCCAGACCGCGAGCGCGAGTGACGGCGGTGATGGTGCTTGGACGAGCCGCTGCTGGAGCTGCTGGAGCTGCTGCTGCTGCTAGAGCGGGAGCGGCTGCGATGCTCGTCCTTGTGCTTCTTCTCCTTCTTGTGCTTCTTGTCCTTCTTGTGCTCCTCCTCGTACATGTGCGCCTCGTGCTTCTCCTCCTTGCGCTCGTGCCGCCAGTCAGACACGCCGTCCTGCAGCTTCGACCCGGCAATCGCGCCGACAATGGCACCGACGACGCCGCTCGTCTTCGCGTGGCCCGTCGCCTGGCCGCCCAGCTTGGCACCGCCAAAGGCTCCCGCCGCACCTCCGGCCAGGGCACCCATCAGGCCTCGCTCGCCCTCCTGCGGCGCGGCGCCGTAGCCCGGGCCGTCGCTGGGGTATGGCGGCGGCGGCTGCTGGTATAGCGTGTGGTACTGCTGCTGCTCGGTCGAGGCGCCCTCGTAGTAGGCACTGGCGGAGCCGCCGGCGTGGCCCTGCTGAGGGGGATACTGATGGCCCTGCTGAGGGGGATACTGATGGCCCTGCTGGGGAGGGTACTGGTTATTGTGCTGAGGAGGGTACTGGTCGTTGTGTTGAGGGGGGTACTGCTGGTTGTGTTGAGGAGGATATTGGTTGTTGTGCTGGCCGTAGTCACCGCCCTGGTGACCATAGTCGCCTCCCTGGTAGCCGTAGCCGCTCATGATGAGTTCGAGGAGTGGTTATAGAGTCGAAAGGACTGTTCGTGATGAAAGAACGAGGAAGATTGACGTTTGAGTTGTCGAGTTCTAGAAAACCAGAGGCGGGACGAGGCGAGCTTTTGTAAGGCGAACGACACTTATATGTCGTGCTACACGAGCAAGCTCCAGTAGTACTAATAGCTGGCCCATCCATCTCCACTCCCCTGCGTTGACAAGAGTGGCTTATAGCACGGGGAACACAGCCCCCAATATCACATTGCCACGTATGCCCGCAAATGGGGGATTGGCGGCCTATGATGTTGCGGCATCGGGAGGCGGCAGGAATGCAGCCCCTTCTGCTGCAAGGAGCACCATGCGATTCTCATGTCCAGATTCGACCCGACTGGCTTGGCCCGAGATTCCCAGCAAATAAATGATCGACAAGCAGCCCCGAGGGAGAGGCCCCCTCCATTTGCTCTGTCGAGATGTGGCGGTGTATTCGGGATGATGGCGGGCACTCCGTATGAGTATGTGTGGGTTATATGTACGGGATGGATCAAAGGCGTCCGTTTGCCATGAGTCTCGTTGATGGCAGAGTTCAAGATGGAAGCATTTTAGTCGTATTATAGCTCTATGCAAATTTCATCTCCAACTATGCGACCTGTTAGCTGACAAGACGGACTGAGGTCAAGTGAGGCCATGGAGAGACTCGCCTCATAGTATGTGCATACTATCTCATCCCGCCCCGGCAGTATGGATGCACGCCAAGCCATCAATCAGCCTCCCAAGAACCCCTCTGGCTGGCCTGTGTGTGCCGCCACCCGACATGCTCCACAGAGTCGGATCCCTGCACGTCGCAGCTTGTTGGAGCGGCGTTGTGTGCAACTACATGTCATGATGTGTCAGAGAAGAGCGTCAGGAGACGAACAGGAAAAGGACAGGTGAACCAGTATGTTTTTACCTTATTGATCCATGGATCTGCTGTAGAGTTGAATAATTCCCATCAATGATTCACAACCCGTTGGCCTTTCTCCTTTATCGCAGACCTCGGTACATCGCTGTCCTCACTTCTCGTCAACCCATGCCGACGCAGATGCATCCTTCGGACAAACGTTCCCTAGAGGTGGGCTGCGCGTGGTGGTAGCACAGGATAGAGAAGTGCTACAAGCGGAACCGCGACGTTGGCGATCTGGTCCATGGCGAAGACCATTGTTGTTGCTGGGGAGGCACAGGAGGCGAGAGGTTGATTTGCAGCTTGGAGAAGAGCGTTTGACTCGTCTTGAGAAGAGTGGTTGATATGGGCAGGCCCGGCTTCACGGCTTCACAGTATGGAGTAGATTGTGCTCTCATCAGGCTTGATGTCATGGAAGAAGAGGAGGGGCTTGAAGAGGAAGAAATGAAGAATGGGAGAGAGTTGTGAATGGATTTATACCTGAAGGAGAAGAAAGTTTCCGTAGAGACGGCAGCAAGAGCAACTGGCCGCTGTCACCTTCCCGCTCAGAAATCCACAGTACACATGCACAAGGAGGTTCATTCGCCCAACAATGGACTCGGGGAGGAACGAGCTTCGGAGTAAAAATACAGGTACAACAATATATATTACACGAATTGGAGATGTACCTTCATCAGAATGCCATCACGATGGCTGCCTGGGGAAATTCTGGGAGAAGCAGTACAGAACCTTCTCACTTGAGAAACTTGGACATACCAGATATCAATTCTGCAGCGGAGAGACGTTTCTGTGTAGTATATCTTCGGGACACGCAGTATGTGTTGGTACCTGACAACTTGGCTTTGGAGAGGAGAGCTGACGACACGAGAATGTCCCAATCAAGCAATATTTCAGAAAATACATTGAAGAGATCTCTGTCTACCAAATCTATAGCATATAAAAGAATACTGGTACCTACCTAGATAAACAATGTTCACATACGTCCAAAGTATAAAATCCACCGCTTCCAACGCCTCATATATAGAAAATGCCAACCTTGCCACTGGCAAAATGCCAATCCATCCATCATCATCATCATCATTGTTCCTGAGCTCATCAAACTCATCAAATCAAACCTTGACCAATCTCAAGCCAGCCTGCATGGCCCTCGCCAGCAGAAACGTCAAGCATCCCATCATCATGGCACAACCGCAAAACACCTGCAAACCCACATACTCACCACGCTGAGCAGCCACAATGGCACCGCCAATCGGACTGCCTACCAGTGCCCCAAACGACTGCAACGCAAACACCGTCCCAACTCTCGTGCCAATCTGGCTCATATCCGAGATCTGGGCAACGAGCGTCGGCCCGAGAGATATGACGCCCCCGGAGGAGAAGCCAAATAGGGCGACGAAGCTGATGATGCCCGCCATGTTCTTCACGGGAAGCCAGACGGCCAAGCAGAAGACTGATGATAAGAAAGTAATAATAACCACGACGTTGAACCTGCCGATCCTATCCGCTGCAAGGCCCGGCACGATGCGTCCCAGGGTCCCTGCGGCGTTGAGGACGGGCAGCAGGTACGGCATCAGAGCCGGCGAGAAGCCCGCCTGTTGAGCCTGGAGGACCACATAGTTGAAGGGCAGAAACATGCCCATGACGAAGAAGAACGCCGCAACGGCGGTAGCCATCAACCGGCCGTCCTTGAGATTGTTCACATACTCCCCGAGCACGAACCTGCGCGGACGCGGCGGCAGCCTCGACTTGACCGTCAAACACGATACGGCCAAGAGCACGGAAAAGATCAGCGCCACGGTGCGCATCATCCAGGGGAACCCGATTCTGAGAATCAGCTTGTTCATCATGATGGGCAGGACGACGCCCCCGACGGAGGAGCCCGAGGTCATGATGCCGTACGCGGCGGCGCGGTTCTTGAGGAACCAGCTGACGATGGAGGACATGCAGGCGTTGAAGACGGCGCTGGAGCCAATGGACGAGAGGATGGACTGGGCGAGGAAGAATTGGTAGTATTCCCTGGAAAGGGAGATCATTGTGAGGCCGAAGATGTAGGTGATGGAGCCTCCGATGAGGAGCCAGCGCGGTCCGTAGTTGTCGTATAAGAGGCCAAACTGAAATACTGTCAGTCCGGCCTTGAGAGATGAGTTTTTGTACTTACGATTGAACCGCAAAAGATCATCAAAAAGACGAGCACCGAGGGAATCCAGCTCACGGCACTCTCATCATACTGCTTCAACGGCCCATTCACATAATACTGCTCAAAGACACCCACGCAGTTAATCATTCCAAAAGTGCAAAACATGGCACACCATCCCCCCAGCACAGCGAGCCAGGCTTCCAGTCCTCCATCGGGGTAATCGTCTGCGGGAGCAGGGGCAGTCTTTTCACCTGCTTCGACGTCGATGATCCGGAGCGAGGTGTTCTTGTCTCTTGTTGATTCGGTCGAGGTTTTGCCTTCGTCGGGGTAGAAGACGAGGTCTTCCTTGGATTCGAGAAAGTCGTTTACCCCGACTGTGGAAGTCGATGAGATGGAGGACGGCATTGTGTGTTGTGTGATGGCCGTCATGTGGTGATGCTGAAGAACTGCTCTGCTCTACTCTGATCTCCCATAGAGAGAGAAAAGGGGGGGGATATGGCCGACGGAGCAGACTCGATGGCATATACAATCGAGGGCGAACCAAATTACGAAGAGCCCGGCGGTATATCAGCACTCTGTGACATCCTCTGACGTCCATCACCAACACTGACAACACTCGGCTCAATGACCTCCTCCTCCTCCCGCGGAAGGACTTCCAGCATCCGTCGATTCGACAATCACACAATCGAAAGTACCCACCCCTGAATCTCGCCCGTACCTGGACTAACAATCGGCATCGTCCGATGAAGCCGTTGTCTTCTCTCTCCTCCAACCATCATCCGAACGTTTCGCGTTATCCGTCGACTCCAATATACTACAATGAGACTTCCCCGTGTTAGTCCAGCTGGCGCGCCCAACAGCATCGGAAAAGGTGCAACGAAGAAGGAATAAAAAAGAAACGACGAAAAGAAAACCGTGCTCCTGCAACGACAATACGCGGGTCGTTTTGTCTACAATAGAAATTGCTGCTCCATTGTCAGTCCCCTTTATGCCACGAGCTGAGAGCACGGCTCAGATGAAGGCGAGGGATTTGACGTGATAGGTGGGAGCGGAACAAGATACTAGGCAAGTTCTGTATGGGCACGGACTCTGGAGTAAAGATGTACTACTGCAACGGCTTCACCAACGTCGTGACGATGAACGAGAGATGATGCTTGAATTGTTGCTACTCATCAACGCTCCCCCCTCCTTGGGTCATCGTTCATATACCTAGGTACCATCAGGGCTGATGATGGTAGCTGAGCCCCAATTCAGCCTTCATCATGGATTCGCTTCTGCTGCTTCAGGATCTCGAGATTTCCACTAGCACCTGTGTAAGAGACTATTCGGCATCACGGCCAAAGCAAGGACCCAAAATTCAAGCCCGTCGTCAGACCGACTGTCTCACCAAATGCATGGACCGCGACAAGGTCCGCAGTCGCAACCTCTCGAAGCCCATTGAAAAATCCCCGAATGCCGCTTTCCGCAGCCAGAATTCTAGTGTGAGTCTTACGGGGGTTGATAATCCGCGTAGCTTCGTCGACTCAGATAATATACATCACGCTTGCTTGATTCGCAGGCAGTTTTTTTGTCTTTCTTCTTCTCTATCCATGACATCCTTTTTCCTTTCGGACATCCTGATTTTACATCATTGGATAAACTCTTTCAACTTCTTCTTATCTTCAAATGTTACTTTTCCATCCTTGCTTGTTGGTTCCACGACGATACCCGGAGCAACCTCATCAGCTGGCACAGGCTGTGCGTCTTGGGGCTTGTTGGCCAGTTCCAGCGCAGATGCCAATGTTCCGGCTTGTGCGTCGGCGATCTCGTTGACCTGCTCGTTGGTGAGACTGTCGACCACGCGCACGCCTCGGCTGGACATGATGATGGTGCTCGGGCCCTTGAAATGCAGAAACAGTCGGTCACCCCAGATGGTCCGGCGAGTCATTGTCCGGATGGTGTAGAGGGTCCGAGCAAGGTATTTGTAGACTTGCGACTCCCGGACCTTTGTCATGAACTCTGTTTCGGGGATCCAGGACGTGAGGGACGGGATCTGGAGTCGTAGGCTGGAGCTCTTGAAGCGGAACGGCAACGGCTGGTGTTTCGTCACAGAGTAGGCGACGACGCTACCGGGATGGGCGACAAACTCTTCGCCCTCGGAGAGATGCAGTTGGTAGATCTGCCCAGGCGCTGAGAGAGCGACCAGCCCACGCCCAGTGACGAATGTGCTGCCCCAATGCGCCATCGAGAGCCTCCTCCGGATCCGCGACGAGAGAGACAGCGTGTGGCCCGTCCAAGCCAGCAGAGCATTGCGCTGGGTCACCATCCAGTCCGTCGTGCCGTCCAGGTGTAGGATCGTAAACGTCGTGGTGGGGGACTTGGTCGAGATGAGCGCCGTGATCGGCGAGGTGGCTGAGATGCGCTGGTAGATGAACGGCACGCCAAACGGTGCCCGCGAGAGAGGGTTTAGTAGTGAAAGGGTCGATTGTGCCTGCAAAAGCCACCACAGATTAACATTCCAGTTCTATGGCTGTCGTTACATCGTCAGCGCTCTCTCACATTGTCTGGGTTCCCCGCCACGGCAACCAGCGTCCCACGCCGTGTATAGAGCCGCTGTGATGCGGATAATGAGACCGAGAGTAGCGAATACGGCGAGCCAATGACTTCGAATCGGGCATCTGTCCCGTCACCAGCCTGTCAGCCCAAGCATTCACTCATCGTGCCCAACAGAACGAGCTCCTCGTACCGGCCGTGTCCCTCAGGCTGTCGATTGCGCCAAAAGCATCTGCCGCGCCGGTCGTCGTGCTGGGCGTTGCGCTGATCTGGATGCTGCGGCACTGCCAGCAGACAAACTGCGCCGGTCTCTGGCTGCGCAGGACGCGCGCCGTCCGAAGCAGCGGCGAAGGGCCTGTCATTGCGCCGGTTTGTCGAGCTCTGGCGAGCCTGTCCAGCGAGCTTCGAGCTTCGATCGAGTTTTGGTGCAGGTGAGCTTGAAGTTTCAATCTGTCTGGACGCTAAAATCCCGGCAATTCTCGCCGTAAACTTCCAACTGCGTCAGGAAGGCTCTTTCTCTGCGGTCTTTCCCGGCTATTCGCTGGCTGCACGTGCTCGTTGCCGTGCCAACGCTTGGACGCTCACAAGACACAAAAGGTACCTTTTACACGGAGATTCCCCTCAAGCCCCCTGCATGTACCGATCCGTCCTCCCCGTGCTCCAGACCTCTCGAGCCAACCCTTGCTTGCGCTTCCCCCCAGCCCAGCCCCGTGAGACAGCACGCCAAATATCGATTAATTAAAATCCAATCTCACGCCCCGAGGACGAACATCGACCGGATGCTCACTAAGCAGGCCTAGGAGCCCCAAATTCCCATCGCCAGTCGACGGCAGCTGCTGCCTCTTGCTCGTCTTCGCCCTGATCCTCAATTGACCGCCAATGTCGGTTCGCGTCGTCGCCAGGCTGCGGCCTCTGCTGGCCCAGGAGCTGGAGAAGGACATCATTGTCCGCACCGACAGCGTCGAGCCCGACAAGCCGCCAACCATTGTCAAGATCCCGAACCCGCGCAACGAGGCCGAAGAGTTTTCATTCACCTTCAATGGCGTCTACGGCTCAGAGACGACGCAAGAGACGCTCTTTACTGCTGAAGGTGGGAACCGTCTTTTATTCTCGTCCCCTTTGTCTTGACTTCTTCTCCGCCATTCTCCGCACCTAACGCGTCGTACGGGACTAGTTGTGTTAACCTGAGCAGTGGCACCGCATATCAAGTCACTGTTTCAGGGCCTCGACGTTACCATCTTCGCCTATGGAGTCACGGGCACGGGAAAGACGCACACGATGCGAGGAGGCATGAAGCTGGCCGAACGAGGTGTCATCCCGCGACTGCTGAGCGGCATCTTCCGCCGAGGAAAGAAGATCATGAAGGAGACGGACGGAGAAACGACGGTGGACGTGGCGCTGTCCTACTATGAGATCTACAACGACAAGGTGTACGACCTGATGGAACCTCCCGAGAAGCGGACGCCTACGGGGCTGCCCCTCCGAGCAGAGGCCAACGGAAAGACGGTTGTTGTAGGCTTGACCGAGCGGGCTTGCGAGGACCTCAAGGACTTTGAGAAGCTGTACATCGAGGCCAACAATAACCGCGTAACGGCGGCCACCAAGCTCAACGCTCACAGCAGTCGGAGCCACGCCATCTTGCGGGTGAAGCTAACCCAGACAACCGGCAACATGGTTCGCGAAAGCACGGCATCCGCCATCGATCTCGCCGGCTCAGAGGACAATCGCCGGACAGACAACGGCAAGGAACGCATGGTGGAGTCGGCGGCTATCAACAAGAGCCTGTTTGTGCTCAGCCAGTGCATCGACGCCATCTCCCAAGGTGCTAAAAGGATACCGTACCGAGAGTCCAAGATGACTCGAATCCTATCGCTGGGCCAGAACAACGGCATCACGGTGATGATTCTCAACTTGTCACCGCTTCGCAACTACCACCTCGACACCCTCAGCAGTTTGAACGTCAGCTCTCGAGCCAAGCGCATTGAAGTTCGCGAAATTGAGAATGAGGTTGTGTTCAAGCAGGTTCCTAGGACGAACTCGGCTCAAGCTGCACAGCGGCAGCCGTTGAAGCCTCTGGCCAATGCCGTGAACACTCAGATTGCCGCCAGCGGAAACGCTGCGGCAAAGGCAGCCGACGCAGCCAAGCCCGTCAAGGCGTTCAGCGTGTACACTGACGGAGCCAAGGCGTCTGCCATTGCGCGCCCTTCCATAGGCGCCGGCCAGCCTCGCTCATCCTCCCAGACCCGGCGCTCTTCGCTGAAGCGATCATCCGACCATCACGAGACTGCTTCTCGGCCCAGCAAGCTCGCTCGGCCAATCCTTCAACAACAGGCTTCAGCGCCGCAAGTAACGCAGCTTCCACAACCAGACGCTACCAAGAGACATCGGACTTCACTGCCGCAAGCAAAACAACCCCCACAGTCACCGCAATCATCAGAAGCCACGAAGCCATCGAGGCACTCGCTGATCCCAGCGACATCGCAAAATGCAATTACCGTGACAGCGGCAGAGATTGAAGCCCTGGTGGAGAAGAAAGTCAGCGAGATACTAGCTGCAAGAGAGGCAGCCGAGGAATCGATTCGGCGGACCCAATCTTCACCCGAAGCCAGTGATGCAGTCCAGAGACGGCTAGAAGCGCTGGAGCGACGGATCGAAAACGAAGAATGGAGGGAGGACGCCAAGGCCGAGGGCTTGCGGCATCTGCTGGCAGCAAGGCATCACAAGGAGCGGGGGGATCTCTTTGCCGCTCTCAAAGCCTATGAGATGGCCCTGCCATATTTCCCGAACCAGCCAAAGCTGCTGGGCAAGATTGAACGCCTCAAAGCACGCTTGGAAGCATCAGGGGGCACATCCCCCGAGAGGAAAGAGAGAAAGAGGGAGCGTAAGCCGAGGCGCAAGACTGTCAGCGATGCAGGCCTCGATGATGCCGAGGCTGATGGCGAGGAAGAATGCGAGGCTCCTACGCCCAAGATCAAGGCGACCAAGCTCAAGGCTAGGAGAGCGCCCCAGACGATTCTTGCGGAGGACGACGATGACGACAACACACCGCGTACGCAGAAACTCCTCGACGTGGTCAACTCGCGTGATGCGACCCAGATCCGGGGCCTCGTAGGATTCGGCGTGAAGAAGGCACAAGACCTGGTTAATTATCTGGAGCATGCGAACAGCGAGGGCGGTGGCGAGATTGAGAAGCTCTCCCAGCTGCGGACGATTCCCGGCATGGGTGGGCGAATCGTGGACCGAGCATACGAGGGACTGGTAGCGGAGGCATAGAACCGTGGACGTCGTTTTTTTTTTCCTATTCCTTTTGTATAAAGGGTGTGCATGTGTTTCCATGCACTTGGATACCAGATCTCGGGCGACTGCCTGAAGAGAGCGGCCGCACAAGCATTGAATGGCGTTTGGAATTGTTTTCTTTGTCTGGGCGAGGACGCGCATATCTGCGCTTTCATATACGTTGCTCCTTGGCCTGGAGACGCATCTAGAGCGAGCGAAACATTCAACAATTGATTCCTCTCCTTGCATGGCTTGTCATGCAGCATCTAGTATCCTCAATTGTTGCCTTGCCTCTGTTTCTCGCGTTGTCTGTCTTGTCTTAGGTACTATTATGTTGGGTCATGACGGTGACGCCTTTCTCTACTTGTGTGTGACTGGTGGTGTGGCGTCACTGACTCTTAATCTCGCTTTGATAAAATCGCAGTCTGTGGTATTGGGTCTTGGAACAGTGTTTTGCTCTGTTGTCCTGTCTTGCTGGGCTTTAGATACATATGCGTGATTGTGGAAGATTGAGCAGTCATTTTGGTTTTGGTTTTGGTTTTGGTTTTGGTTTTTGCCTTTGTTGACCTCGATCAGGTTTGGTGCAGGCACTAGGTATTGATCTAGGTTTCGTCATATAGAGTAGGTAGATAACACAGATGTGTACGAAGCAGTGCCGAGTCTAGTTTTGCTGTTCAGAATGATGACATTTGTTAAATTCTTGAGATTCATCTGCACAAGGTGATGCCCACTTCTAGATCAAAGACTAAAGGCATAGACCTCAACTTCATAGCACCTAAATACAGTAAAGAAAAGAAATTTCAGCAAAAGCTCACGAAAAAGACATAATATACACCTGAATTATCGGGCTCTACATTGATGCAAATCTTCCACATGACGGGCTGCCGTACATGTTACTTTAGCTTCACAGAGACAAAGAAAAGAAAAGCATGCATCAAGGTTAGCGTAGGTAGATCAAGCCCTTATGTATCTCAATTGCATCCACAATCTCCCATCAGCTTATCTAAGAGCTTCTGTAGTATAACGGTCAGTACAACAGTTTGTGGATCACACGGTTCACTGTAGATCCAGGTTCGATTCCTGGCAGGGGCACCATCTTTTTTTGCCATTTTTTGCCCTTTTATTTCTGTCCCCCATTTTTGGCTGTCAGAACTCACAACTCAACATTTTTTTCGTATCTAGCATATATGCCAGTCTCAGCTGGTCTTCACACGGCATCAGATCCAATCATTCCCCTCCCAACACACTCCCTCTCAAACATGGCGCTCCCTCACCCACCCACACACACACACACATCCGGGCGTTTCAACCCGAATCATCCATCCTCTCTGCATGTCCGACATCCAAAGGGCGGCTAAATCGGATCATCCTCCGATAAACAACACAAACCGCCCAATCACCCCACTTCCATCGTCTTCCATCTCTACTGTATCCGTATGTTCGTTCCTAGGAACTTATCCTATTATATGTTACCTATTAAGCCAACTAAGTATTACGAGTTGCCCGTGTATGCATGTGCATGTATGTGTCTGTGTGGGTGTCGGATCATGTGGCGTCCAAACAAAGCCAAGCACAACAGCCAAATCCTCGTTTCCGAAGGGCTTTTCCTGCTATTCCCACTTATGAGATCCCCCCAAAACGCACCTTTTTCGGTGTAAGAACGGGCTTGAATGGCGCTGGGCGGCTACTGGCTCCCATGTCATTGCGCGCACGAGGTGGCAGCGGCACATACGTAACGCGCATGACGCAGCGGCTTCAGTTATCCGACCAATTGTATGGGGAACATCAAGAGACGCCGGCGATGATTGCTGTATTTTTGCCATCCATCCATCGTCTTACCTGTTTCCTGCGAGTACCTAAGTATGCACAGTAATAATGATCGCGAGTGGGGGAGAGGGAATTTCCAGTAATAGATCTGGCTTATACGAGAGGCTCTGGGCACGGAACATCCGGATTAAAAATAAACACATTCGCATTGAAACTGAGTCATCATGTGAACATGCGCACCGTTGCAGGCCCGGAAGAGCCGTTGCTGTTTCAAAGAGGTGAGAGGCGAGAAACACAGGTTTCACCGAGGGTAGAGGTAGTCAGTCTGACACAAGCAGGCAGGCAGGCAGGCAGGCCAACGCTCTTGAAAAAGCAATGCATCTCATGATTCTGGCGTCTATGTACAAGACTGTATTGAGGAAATATATGTTCAACCCATAGAGTCATAGCAGGCATGACATGTGCTGCGCCCAGCTCCGTAAACTAAAAACGAGTAGATAAAATGTGTCAAAGGGAAAATAGAAGATGCTCAAGCGTAGCAATGAAGTGGCGCCCCGGGAATCTTTCCGGGCAGACAGCAACGCCCGCGGTTAGACCACTGGCACGCCAGGGTGAAGCAGGAGAAGAGCTTCGGGAAAAGAACGAGCGTGAGACAAGAGTATGCTCCTTTCAAAGTCGTGAGAACGACGCGCGGTGTAGTTCCGTACATGTAGGTCGGGTTGCCGTGGTAAGGTCGTAACCAAGAGCAGCTCCCCGATATGGTATCATCCGCTTCCCGTCGTCTTGTAATCCAAACCGTACACCATCCAAAATGAACAAAACTGGCTTTTTTTTCGGTTTCTTATGCTTGTAGGGCCATTTGGAGGCGCTTTACCGAATCATGCTCGTTCGGCGCTGGACTGTCCTCTGCTGGTCTACTCGAGATCCTCCAAAGCCGGGCATTGAGCTGAAGCGGTTCAGCTTCTTGCGCTCAGGCAACGTCTCCATGGTGGGAGTCTGGGGCTCGGGCGTCGTGGAGTACGAGGGAGACCGAGGAATAGGCGAGGCACGGTCCCCATGCAGTGCGTCGTTGCGAGATGCGCTGGACTCTGCCGAGGAGCCAGTGCTGTTGGGAGTCTGGTAGACGTACTCGCCGTCGACATAGACGGCATTGGACACGAAGGTGGATCGACGGTTACGGCGACGGGTGTAGCGTTGCTCAAGGCGGAAGAGCTCCAGCTTGGCCTGGATACGCTCAAAGATGCTCTGGCCCATGTTTGCGTCACGACGTATGTAACCGAGAGGGGAGATGATTGTTTGTTGGCGGTGGTTTGCTGTTGGCAGCCGAGGCGTATATCGATCTTAATGCGGTTGTCTCTTTGTTGCTCGTTTCGCGTTGGTGCAGATGTAAGAAGGCGGCGTTAGGGTTTGTCAGATGGAAGCTCTCCAGAAATGGTGTTCCAATTGTTTCCGGAGACAAGAAATTGTGCGTTAGAATCAGGTGATGTTGGTAGGAGGAGGAACGTCAGGACAGAAGCAGCCTCAAGGTAAGAAGGGAAAAAGGTAAGAGGGAAAAGAGGGAAATGGTACGTCTGGCAGGGGACTCGATTGGGAACGCCCGTGTATTAGTACAGTTGGAGACAATGTGGGAGGTAGAAGCGAAATAGAAAGAGTGACAAGAGGTTGGGAAGCTGCAGCTACAGGGGGCCTGTTGCTGGATGAGGAATAGAGAGGTTTAAAAAAAAAGAGATGGGATGAGAAGAAGTTCAAGTTGAACTGCAGAGAAGAAGAGGAGAGAGGAAGGTCTTTTGCAAAGATCCTGGCATACCTAGGCGGGCCGGGGGGAAGGCCCCAGAGTATATGGATCAGCAGGTACGAGGTATGAGGTACGAGGTTTATAAGCGGAGATGACTTCTGGTGGTGGACAACGCCCGTACCGCAGGAGCGGTTTATCGAGAGGCCCTGGGACTGGAGCAAAGTGCAGCTACTCCGGGCCTGTTCCTGACCTGTGCGAGCACGCGTACTGAGTACCCGGCAGACCCAGAGACGCATGGCAACGCTGCAACGCAACGCCACCAAAAAGGCTGGGGGTCAGGGGCCCATCAGCAGCAAGCAGTATCAGGTACGGACGAAGACCGTTGGGGCAATGGGCAGCGCGAGCGGTTGGCAGACGGGAAGCAGGTATCGATACCCGGGCGCCAGCGGCGCTAAGGCACTTCGTCTCCAGCGGCCTGAATGAGCCGCAGGGGATCCCACGTCGCCGTGAAAAGGCGTCCATTTACTGGAGCTGTTGGCGTGTCTAGCAGATGTGCCTTGGAGGAACAAGGCCGAGGGCATGCACCCTTATGCAGGACTAGGCGGATGAACGCCGTGCGATGTGGGCGCTTGAGCGAATAGTGCCAGTGTTGGAGCGTCAGGAAAAGGAGGAGGCAAATGTCGAGAAAAGGCGTCCTGTGATGCTAGCTGCTGTGGAGGGGTGATTGCGACTGCACTTCCAGTCAGTGGCCGATACTCGTATCTCGAACACAGCAAGGTATATCGTGTTAGTAATTTGGGTGCCTCCAGTAGGTAGGTCGGTAAGATGAAGCTGGAAATACAGTACCTGGAGCTCCGTCCAACGCGATGCCCTGAAACTCCGATAAGGCCTCTCTGTGTGTCTTCGGCGCTCGTTTGCCTCTTGTCTCTTGTCTTCCCCTGGTGAAACGCCTCGCTCCGTATTGCGGGCTCTCTAGCGCAGGGGCTCCATCATGGCCCGAGTGCCGCGGCCACATCGCGCCGTTGTGGGTGATTGGAGTCGCTGTCCTCTGGAGGTGGATGCGCCAATAATGGCCGGCTCCGATGCCTCAGTCCTGGCCAGGATCGGGCAAGTGTCTCGAGACCAGCAGCGTTATTAAGCGATATTGGCAGACAAGCCATCGAAATTGGTCGCACCGGTGCTTGACGGTGCTAGACAACTGCGCTTGGTTGCCCTTCCGCCGTCATGGATGAATAGTTGAACTGTCTACTCATTACCATCATCATCATCATCATCATCGGGCGCCGGAGTACGGAGCGAGCTGCATGTCCACACGCACGTACCAAGAAACAGTATCTGAACACTCACCCACTCAAGCTCCCAGAGCTACATATGACCAGCAGCGCCACGAGACCGTACTCGTATTTCCACAACCCTGTCTCTTCCAGAGGCTCAAGCGTAAGTAAATGGACTCGTACCTGATATTAGCTGATCGGGCTACTTGCGGTAGCGTCTTGAAGCTGCATGGCGGACGCCTCTTATTTCTGTAGTGCTGGAATAGCGCAAATTCATCAATCTCCCAACGTGAAGTCTTCTTCAAACAACTCACAAAGTCCTCTCCTCAGTAGTCGCAGTCGAGCAGATGAATGGCCACGGACACACTCTTTTCCTTCCTGGGGAGGCCTCGATTTGCGACGTCCGGTTCAATCTCCCCTTTTTGGGTCGCGGGCAAGTCAGGACTCGCAGGTGACATGCATGGGTTCCTAGCACCAGCTCCCACGTGGATTCCTTCCAGAAGCGAGGCGCGATCTTGACGGTTTTGGGGAGGCTAGGAACCTCACCCTGGCCCCCTGTCTTCATAGCGGCCTCATGCTTCAGATGAAGGGCCTGATGGCATGAAGAGCTGATGCCGTCAACATTGCAATGACACAATGTCATTGCTGTGTGCGGAGCAGCTTCTTGCGCCGAGCCACTCTGGAGTTGCAAGTGCCTCGTGTTTGCTGCAACAAGGTCTCCTCCGTCAGGATTGGTCAATCCGGATGCCATCTAGCGAATGTTCGCCGCCTTGTCGGAAGCTCCCGAGCACAGATGCTCCAACGATCCTCATCTCCCAACCATCTGCGCGCCTCACAAGCACCACTTTTCCGTGGCACAGGCACACTCTGAATGGCGCACGGGTGTGGAGTCACGTCAATAGTTCGAATCTTTAATTCTCATGTTAACTCAGAGCTTGTTCAGGTCGCGACCCATTGCTCGTCCATTCTTGCGTGTATTGTACAACTACCTGGATGGAAGATCAATGCCATGCCTGAGATGACTGTGGTCGCCTCACAGGCAGTGGAATGGAGCTGATGTGCAGCACGACACAGGTCATGTAGGGAGAGATCTGCGTTGCCTGTCGGGCTTGAGACTTGAGGGTTCAGGTTCCTTGTGCCGTGAGATGAAAGATCGACGCAAACCCACGCGATAGATAGATGCTCTCTGATAGTCGATGCTGACTCGGCCTCTGACTGCTGTCTGCTTGTTTGTGCGGATTCGGCATCTCGACTGTTCCTGGTACGTTGAATTCGACGGCAGCATCGTGCATCACAGCCTCTGCTCCGTGAGCGGTGATGCTCCTTCACAATGTCTCGGCAGATGGGAGGCAACATCTGTATCTTGCCGTTATCCGTTATCACCTATCAGTTGTCCGTAATCCGGTATTCGCGTTTCAGATGCACAGCAAGGAAGGAGCGGACCTCCATATGACGTCTTTCTGAATGGGCATTGGCAAGTGCTCCTGGGTAGGTGCCTTATGTGACGTGATCGTCCCATCCTATCGCTGCGGGAAAGCGCAGCTGTTGCAATGTGCCTACCCTACGAACCCGGCAGCTTTCTATCCGGGCTTCCATCGCTTAGGTACCTACCTAAGGTGGAAAACAATATCCCCTACCTACTTCATACAACAGTAGGTATCCTGCAATACAAGTACGGATAGGTAGCATGTCGTAACCCGTGAGGAAGGACGAGATCACAGCTCCCGAGTCGCCTCGACTAAACGAAAGTTTGTCGCTCATGCTTATACTCGAGATGCCGAGATCGCTCATGGGGAGGGATTGAAAAGGGACCTCGTGACGGTGGCTATGTGCGCCTTGTGTGCTCTTTGCAACGCTCTCGTGACCCCCTCAGATTCTGAGCTCACTCGACACTCGACGCTCTCGAGACTGGATCAGACATTCTGGAGGTCGTCCGCGGAGGGACGTTGAACACTCGTGCCCATCGAACTTACACCGAGTCGACAATCTGCACTGACTCCATCTCAGAGGCTCCGGTTTGGACGAGTGCCTCAATCCACGATGCGGGCTTCCATTGTCTGGAGCCTCGGCCTTGTCGTCAGAGGTGTCCTCTCGCTACACTCCGGGCAGAAAAGAGGGACAGATACACCTGCGAAGAATGTCAATGCCGCGACGAACAGGTACATCGTCGAGGTTGAGAGAGTACGTTTTCGTGATACCTGGACTTCAATTGCTTTCATTGACTCGGGTGATTACAGAGCAGCATTGGTTATATGACACGCCAATTTTCTTCGCCAGCTTCGGCCAATAGCACGTACTTCAGGCAGTTCGACTGCGGTGACATTTTCAATGGAGTTGTCGTCGAGACTGACATTGACAACGTCGACACGCTCAGCAGAGTCCACGGCGTGGCCAATGTTTGGCCCATGAAGACTGTCCCAATGGCGTCTGGTATTCGACGAGTCAAGGCTGCACTGGACTTCAAGAGCCACAATTACTCTGTGCATCAATGGACCGGCGTCGACCAACTCCATACTCAAGGCATTCGGGGCAAAGGCGCGACTATTGCCATTATCGATACCGGCATTGACTATACGCACCGAGCGGTCAGTGGTCTTTCTTCACGATATACCGATCCCTTGATGCTAAGTTTTCTCTCTAGCTTGGCGGCTGCTTTGGTCCAGGCTGCAAGATTGCTGGAGGCTATGATCTCGTTGGTACTGATTGTAAGTCCGGCCCTAACCATGGGGAGTTGTGGCGTGACAGCTGACATGGAATCGAAGGGAACTCTCACAATGAGAAGCGGTTCCCCAAGGACCCGGATCAGGATCCGATGGACTTTCATGGCCATGGAACCCATGTTGCTGGGATCATTGCTGCAGAGAATGAATGGTAATATACCGAAGTTGTATCCCTTCCTCCTTCGGCACTAATCTGCTGTAGGCTTATTGGAGTTGCTCCTGACGCTCGACTTCTTTCGTTCAAGGTGTTTGCAGATGTAAGGCTACCGTACACTCAGGAAAGCATATCTGCTGATACGGATCTAGGACCCCTGGGACACAGACGAGGACGTGCTCATTCAGGCATTTTGCGATGCATATGGCGCTGGAGTGAGCATTCGTGTACTTCCCTTAACGTCCTGTAACCTAACAAGCGTAACAGGCCGACGTCATTACGGCCAGCATTGGTAGACCTGACGGATTTGCCGACGACCCCTGGGCTCTGGTTGCGAGCAGAATCGCCGACAAGGGCGTTGTTGTTACCATCTCAGCGGGCAATGAAGGCAACACTGGGCCATTCTACTCAAGCAGCGGCGCCAACGGCCACAATGTCTTGTCTATAGCTGCCATCAACGTTACGGGGGACCCAAGTATTAGCACGTCCGATCCCACCGCGGCACCCATTCCCGCCATTTTCACGTCATGGGGGCCTACCAACGAGTTGCTCCTCAAACCTGATGTTGGTGCCCCAGGCTTTGACATCATCAGCACCGTGCTGGACAACGACTACGACTTGATGAGCGGAACGTCCATGGCCGCGCCGTATATCGCAGGAATTGCTGCTCTTTACATCTCAAAGCATGGCGGTCGGGAATTCCATGGCCCCGGATTTGCAAAAATGCTTGCCAACCGCATTGTTTCCAGCGGAGTCAGTCTTGGGTGGGCTGCCGACAACATCAACTTCGAATTCAGAGCGCCTCCCTTTCAGGTTGGGACTGGCCTGGTGAATGCTCTCAAGGTTCTGGACTATACCACTCAGTTATATTTCGAGCCTTTCTCTTTGTCGGATTCCATTCAGTTTCGGCCGAAATGGACTGCCAACATCACGAATGCAGGCAATCGAACAGCCGTGTATTCTTTCGAGATTGAACCCCAAGCTGGAGTGGAGATCTTGGATCCTCACTACGGTATCAAAACCGCCTACAACCTGGAGCCAATGCACATTGTACCGCCGGTCAAGTTGCCCGAGGATGTTGCACTGGCACCAGGGGAGACGCGAGAAGTCGAGTAATATTGTCCCTTGGCTAAGTCGGCACGCTTATTTGGCTAATAACTTGATAGGTTCTTCTTTGGACTTCCTCAAACTGTTAATGATGATTACCTCCCACTGTTCGGTGGTAAAGTTTGGATAAGAGGGAGCAACGGTGAAGATCTCTCAATTCCCTATGGAGGTATGTCCAGACCCGGTTATCAATATGAAATGGATATCTCAGCTTAATTGATGCATTTTGCACTTCGCAGGGGCCGCATACGATACAGAGAAGGCGTTTGATACCATGTTCTTGGGCGACCCTTTCATCACAGACTGGGGCGGCAACTGGACGTGAGTGAGCCTGGGCCGGCATAGTTAATCTATCTAACGTGAAGCAGCTGGTCATTCAATGCAGACAGAAACCGGTTCGATTTCATGGAATTGTCTGCACGCCTCGATTATCCATGTTTCCACCTCCGTTGGGATGTCAGTATTCCCTCTGTATGCCTTGACCTTGGCGATTGGCCTATGCTGATCAATTTTTCCTAGATATACACTGCATATTGGACTGAGCCCCATTGGGAGTATCCTCCCATTGTCGGGGTATCAGGCTACGTTGGTGCGGCGGCCACGATGCGAGATGCCGATACCTTTTGGTATTACGATCCAAGCCGCATGGACAAGGAGCAAACGGCGGCATTTCCCATGATGAGAGTTCCCCGTGGCTATGCGAAGCATTGGTGGTTTGGCAAGCTGGCGAACGGAAGCCATATTGCGCCAGGCAATTACACGTGAGACTTACATCCAGATGAATGAGCCTCTGAGAATCCTGGGTCAACTAACTCGAGTGATGCAGCCTGCGATTTGCGGCTTTGCGCCCCTACGGCAATCCAAACATCTCGGATCACTGGGACATTATGCGCATGCCTGTTCGAAACATTCAAGTCTTGCCATATAACGGCACGAATGCCACCATACATCGAGGTTGATATGGCAATGAGACAGCCGATTTGTCACTGACTAGATGTTACATAGTCATTTTTGGGCCATCTTTGGAAGACGTTGAGAGAGGTTAAGCCTATTTCTGCGGAGGTAATGGATTGTAGGTAAACTTGGACCATCTTTTTAACAAGCCTGGCAAGATAATGATGGTGAATGAACATGTCCTTGTCTAATATCTTCGAGTGTTCTCTAATTACATGTTATACTCTGAAGCCAGGCTATTCTTGTGTCTTCTGCTTCTTAGACTTGGCTTTGACCCCGTTTGTCTCTGCGCCGCGCTTGTGTCCAGCACCTTCTCCGTTCTGTTTCTCTATGTGATCTCCGTCTTCATTGTTATCCGCATTTTCGCCAAAGTCGCTTTCGTACTCTCCCATGACCTCGGCCTCATGTGGAGACGGGAACAAGCTTCGCCAGCTGCCGTCCAGCACCTGTTCATCGTTGCCATGAAGTCCCACGGAATATGCGTTCTTCATGGCGCCGATACAGATGCCTCGGCGCTCGGAAAAGTCAAACATGGGCTTCGGATAAGTGCCCTCGTCGTGCTGCTCCTCGAGCCCGTCGCCGGTGATCCTGACGCCGGCGGCCTTTTGGTCGGGCAGCGGCATCTTCCAGGGCTCGTAGATGTACTTTGGCTTTACGTTGCGCAGCTCGGGGACCCAGCGGCGGATGAGGGCGCCGTCGCGATCCCACTTCTGGCCAAAGGAGACGGGGCTGTAGACGCGGTAGTACTGGGCGAAGAAGGCAACGCAGGAGAGCCACTGCCAGTTGCCAATGTTGCAGGCGGGCTCGTGGTCGAGGAGGAGCTCCTCAAAGACCTCTGCGCCGCGCTCCCAGTCGACGTAGCAGCCGCCGCGGGTGAGGAAGCAGGCGACGCTGTGGCGGCCGAGGTGGTGGATCCAGCCGTCGTGGCGGAGCTGGCGCATGAGGGCGTCGATCCAGGGGAAGCCGGTTGTGCCGGCCTTCCAGCGGCGGAACCAGGTCTCGGCCTGGTCGCTGTCGATGTGGTGGTCGCCCGTGGTGAGGCCCGTGTGCGGGTCGCGCTTGGAGGGGAGGTGCCAGGGGACGAAGCGGCAGTAGGGGTTGGTGGCCGTCTGGGCAAAGGACGCGCCGAGGGCGGCCTGGGCGGCGAAGTACATGTCGCGGAAGAGGACCTGGCCGATGAGGCTCTCCGGGGGCGAGGAGGCGCCCGGGCCGAAGGAGTCGATGACCTCTTGGACGCGGTGGTAGAAGAGGCGGACGGAGAGGGCGCCAAAGTGGAAGAAGGGGGAGAGCAGCGTCGTGGCCGGCGGGTCGAACTGCGCGGGGCTGGTCTTTGGCTTCTTGAAGGTCGCAATGTACGTCTTGTCCTTGATGAGCTCGTCGAGGCGCTCAAGAGCGAGCGTCTCGCCGCCGCGGATGGGCGTCGTGGCGGGCGCGAAGCCGAGCTCCTCGAGCGTCTCGATGGCGAAGTCGCCGTTGGGGCCGGAAATGTGCTTGTACGCCGTGTCTTCCCTCGTCTTGTGGCTTTCGTTGATGTCGGGCTTCGGGTCCGGACGATGCTGCTCGAAATCCACGGGCATGTCTCCCGGATCGGGCAGACTCTTGGGCGCCGGGATCGGCTTCGCGACCGGGCCAATCTTCTTCCCTGCGGCCTGCAGCGCGGCGATGGTCATGGTGGGCTTCCCGTCGTGGTGCGCGACGATTTCGTCGCTGTCCCAGAGGGTGCGGCCGGAGCGGGTGATGACCTCGACGCCTGCTTCTTTGGCTGCTTTGACGACGGCCTCGTCTCTGGTTCGGGCGTATGTGTCCGTGTCCTTTTCAAACACCAGATGAGTGGGCTTCCAGGCTTCGAAGAGCTTGGGAAAGAGTGTTTGCGGTCCTTCACGCAGAACGAAGAGCTTGGATTTCTTGTTCAGCTTCGTGATTGACTGCGAGAGGTCGTTTTGACAGTCCAGCCTGTTAACATTGGGATGTCAGTTGACTGGTCTCATGAGTTCGTCCGAGGGAGCCGTACAGAAATTGGAACCGATTGACTCCCACTCTGGCTTTGTACACATAATGAGGATCCCATGTCCAGATTGGCCAAAGAGCCTCGGGTTCGAGATCCAGCGCCGCTTGAAGGGCGGGAGAGTCGTGCAGACGAAGGTCTGTCCTGAACCAGTAAATCACACGCGGCTTGGTCATTGCGCTGGAAGTCTTGTATGTAAGGTATCAAGCTGGTACAATAGTATTGTGAAATGATCATCTCATGTCGATTTATATATAAGAGTCCTGATGAGGAGTGACTTTGTTGAGGCGTTGTCCATGATGTCATGATTGTGTTCCGAGCGCGATGCTATGGAGGAGGCTGAAAAGTCTCGATCGGGCGAATGAGGCTGTATTGATGTAAGGGAGACGTGGGTGAGTGTGAAGCTGCAAAAGACCAACATCTGAACCTTTTCACGCAGTAAAGCTGAAGGAAGCCATCAAAAGTCGTCAATATGCGGTGCGAGGTTAAGCAACCGCAGTTTCTGATAGGAACAGCCCAGCTCAACTACCGAGAGACCGTCAATCAGCTGCAAGTGTGTCTGACAAGCTTCTCAACCAACCCAATCGCTAGCTAGCAATTTTAAAGTTGAAGCTTGTAAGATCCAACCTCACTGGATCTTCGAGTCTGCGTCTACAAGCCAATCATCGACTGAGCTCGCAATGCCGTAGTGAGACATCTGCGTAATGATCACAGCCTAGCAGATGAGAAGGGGGATCTCTTTTGGAACCTTTGGCTAACGGCCGGATATATGAACGTTTGGTACGGGACACGGTACGGACTTAGTTTGATTGCTGCTGCGTCTTGGCCCAAAGTCCGTGATATTGGACCAGACTATTGATCTGTTGCTGTGTCCAAGTCAGCACTAAGTCGCAACAACATGTATATAAGTCGTACTTTGAGAATGATGCATTGAGAATCGACAAGCAATACCATTTACATCTCATTCGCATTCATACTCCCATTCGTAGTCCATCAGACTCCCTACCAACATGCAAATCGTCTCCATCGAAGACTTCACCCGCCAGTCCTTTGACTTCCTCGTCATCGGAGGCGGAACCGCTGGCCTGGTTGTCGCATCTCGTCTAGCCCAAGACGGACGGTTCACTGTTGGAGTCATCGAGGCTGGAGGACCGGTAAATGGCCGCGAAGACGTCGATATCCCCGGCTATTTCGGGAAGTCGTTGGGTAGCGAGATCGACTGGAAGTTCAGATCGGCACCACTGGCTGAAGTTGGAGGGAAGACGCTCATGTGCCCGCGGGGAAAGGCCCTTGGAGGATCAAGCGCCATCAACTTCATGACTTGGTGCCGAGCCAGCAGAGAGGATTATGATGCGTGGGAGGTGCTGGGCAACCCTGGATGGGGATGGGATGACTTGCTGTAAGCCCTTCTTGAACTTGAGTTGCGGTGACGGAGGATATTGATCTTGGTTCCATCTTGGGACCCTCTGCCTCATAGACCTTATTTCAAAAAGTCAGAAACGTTCCACCCGCCTAGCCCTGCTGTTCAAGCCGAAGAGGACATTCGATACGATCCCGACTCCTTTGGCTATTCGGGCCCCATCCACATCTCATATACTACTCATATCCCACCGAGACATCGCCTCTGGTCCAACACGCTCAACTCGCTAGGCGTCAAGACAAACTCGGCTCATGCCGCTGGATCGATTGCCGGGGTGTGGACAAACATCAACAACATTGATCCGCGCACAATGACCCGGTCCTTTGCCACCAACTACTGCGCCTTGGCCGGGTCCGACCTTCACATAATGACCCAGGCCACAGTCCAGGACATTGTTCTCGACAAGACCAGCGATGGATATGTAGCCTCTGGAGTCCGATTCATACACGGAAACCAGGAATACGTCGTCTCAGCATCGCGGGAAGTCATCCTATCCGCTGGAACTATCAAGTCTCCGCAGATCCTAGAGCTTTCCGGCGTAGGCAACCCTGAGATTCTGTCTCGCGCCGGCATTGCCGTCAAAGTCGAAAGTCCTATGGTGGGAGAAAACTTGCAGGAGCACAAGGGTACGTGCCTGTTTCCACTCTACCAGTCGGCAGATCAATCAGGGTTGTCGTGCTAATGTAGATACACAGCAATCCATGCCATCGTGGAACATGATCCAGGGCTTGAGAACAGCGACGATCTCTTCCTTGACGCAGATTTTGCGGCTGCAGCTCGTGAACAGTTTGCCCGGGACAAAACCGGCAGCCTTGCCCACGTTTTTGGACACTATGCCTTTGTGCCTCTTGCCAGATACATTCCGCAAGATACGTTGGACAAGTTGTGTTCTCGAGTCCAAGCCTTGACCGAATTCTCTGCAGAGAAGAAGGCCATCCTAGAGGAGCGCCTGAGATGCACCGATAAACGTGGTCAGATAGAATACATCTTCAAGCTCGGCGCTGGGCGCTTGGCGGAGAGTGGAAGGAAACTCGCCACGCTGTACCAGATTCTGCAGTATTCTTTCTCCGTTGGCTCAGTTCACATTCAGCCAGCCCCCTCTCAGAGGGAGGATCCAGTCATCGATCCCGGGTTTTATCAGGGGCCCACGGGCGAACTCGACCTCGAGGTCATGTTGGAGTCAACCCGCTTTGCTCGGGAGATCCTCCTTGCGCCACATATGAGCAGCATTGTGAAACAACTTGTTCACCCCCCGGCCAGCTTTTATGGTGACGACGAAGCCATGAGGAAATGGATCGTTGACCACACCGGTATGGCGATGCATGCTGTTGGCACATGCGCCTTGGGCGGCCACGCGGGAGTTCGAGGAGGAGTCGTAGATGAGAGGCTGAAGGTTCTTGGCGTCGAGAGCCTGCGAGTAGTAGATGCCAGCATCATGCCGCTGCAAATAGGAGCGCATATACAGGCGACGGTGTATGCCATTGCGGAGAAGGCGGCCGATATGATTCTTCAGGATGCAGCCAGGCAGCAGTGATACAAATCTGCTTAGCATACAGCGCACAAGAAGTGGCGGCAATATTCGGCTCATCTCGGTGATACTGTGACGCTCTCATCTGCGGTGTCATGAAAGCCAGTTCTAGCTCGTGCAACCGCCAACTCACTTGAGGGCGTTCTGAAGACGGACGTGGACGACGGAATGTTCCGAAGGGAGATGGCGCGGGGTGACCTGGAACTGGGATTTGCAGATAACTCATGGGAACTGCGACCCTCGTGAAGCTCTGATTGCGATGGCGTCTCGAAATGCTGCTTGATCCAGGGGAGAAGGTTGAAATATCCGCCACAAGCGAACACGCCTATCCAGAGGACCAACTCAGTCCCGTATATCACCATGCCGAGGACGTCCAGTTCCGGCTGGAAGAAGACTGAGATGAGGGAGAATAGATCGCCGCCGGCATCGATTCCCACGAAGATGAATGAGATCCCGCGGACTGATCGATGGACGTAGATATCCCAGTAGTGTCTGAGCACGCCAGCAGCGAGGAGAGCAGCTGAGAGAACTGCCATGAGGGTGTCCGGCCACGTGAGATGCGAGGAATGAGCTGCTCGGAGAGCAAAGATGAGGGCAGCCTGTGTAGCGGCCATGAGAAGAGCGATGGGAGTGGCTACCAAAAGACAGCGAGAAACGGGCCACTTCTGTTGTTTGAGCCCCGTGTTAGTGATTGATGTCATGGCTTGATAACAAGAATAGGTAATGGGGCCATGGGCTTGCCTTGTCGTAATAGCGACACTGAGCCCAGGTAACCAGGCTCAGAAACGTCAGAATCTGGGGCTGGATGCGCAGGGCAACGTTGAAGTTCTTGGTGATGTTGTACACCCCAAGCGGAACACCTGCACAAGCCCACAGCATCATCATCGAGGGCTGCAGGCCGGTGGTGTCATGGCGACGGTAGTTGATGATGATCTGGGGGATAAGCTGTCTTTGCGTTAGTATGGAGGTCTGATCCATTTCTTCACGGGATATCGAATGGCTCTCTACCTGTACAGACCAGCAGACCTATTATTGACCACATCCTTAGCTCAGTTCCGAGATAGACCCTTGATTCTCTGATGAATGTCTCAGTCTAGGTAGTAAGGCGTGAGAGGGACACTTACAGCACCCGCTGTTCCAAGCACATTTGCAGCCACATGATTATCCATGTTGAATGATCGAGTAACGAGCAATCGGTATACGTATCCCGGTAGTTCACCTGGTCATCAGGGTGCAGTCGAGCTGTGTGACGCTTGGGATGTGGTGGCAGCAGCTTTCCAGAATTGCGCAGATTCGAGAACCCACGCAGAGCGAATTGACCGATATTTATACACCGGACGATAGCATATACCTAGCAGCACTGCTAGAAAGAATATGCCAACACTGACAGCCGAAAAGGATGGCACAAACCAGCTGATGCATGTTCGAGAGCAACAGCAGATGCTTCACCTGGAGCTGGTCCTTGACCGAGGCAAGAGGCGATTACCTAATCCCGCACTTCGCGTCACCTCGACTTGGGCTTTTTAATTGATTGCAGCATTTAGACGCGTCTCCCCTCCAAGACACGCGACAGGGAATTTTGCAGGCTTTCATCCGCAGCGCCTCCATGACTTGATTCGACTCTGGTTACTCTTGTCCTTTCGGCTAGAGAAAAAAGAGGGTTTGGAACTGTCTCTTTACGGATCATCCTCCATCACTCACACATCATGGCCTCAAGACCCGAGCTCAAGGCATGTCTGGATCCAAGCTGGGCCGAGTTCCAAAGCTGACATTGAGCACAGGTCGACGACGAGGGCGGCTTCATCCGCTTCTTCAAGTCTCTCCCAGACATCGGCGACGATGCCGTGCGGATATTCGACAGAGGCGACTGGTACACCGCCCACGGAAGCGATGCCATGTTCATTGCCAAAACAGTACGACATCCGTCGTTCTCGTCAACCTGCCCTGACCAGTTCGCGCCTCTTCTAACGCAACCCAACGCATCCAGGTCTACAAAACGACGTCCGTTGTCCGACAACTCGGCAAGAATGACCACACGGGTCTCCCCTCCGTCACGATATCCACCACCGTCTTTCGGCAGTTCCTCCGCGAGGCCCTCTTCAAGCTGGGCAAGAGAGTCGAGATCTGGCAGAGTCCGAGCGGTCGCATGAATTGGAAGTGCGTCAAGCAGGCATCCCCGGGAAACCTGCAAGATGTGGAAGACGAGCTTGGTGGCCAGATCGACTCGGCACCCATGATCATGGCTATCAAGATATCCGCAAAGGCTTCCGAGGCACGGGCCGTCGGTGTCTGCTTTGCTGACGCCAGCGTTCGAGAGCTTGGTGTCAGTGAGTTCCTCGACAATGACCTCTACTCGAACCTGGAGTCTCTCATCATCCAGCTGGGTGTCCGAGAGTGCCTTATTCAGTACGAGAAGGGCGACAGAGAGAAGGAAAAGGACCCTGAATTGGCAAAGATTAGACAAATCATCAACAACTGTGGTGTCGCTCTGGCCGAGCGCCCTGCTGGTGACTTTGGCATCAAGGATATCGAACAAGACCTGGCTCGCCTGTTGAAGGACGAAAAGTCAGTTGCCATGCTGCCCCAGACGGACCTTAAGCTGGCCATGGGCTCGGCAGCATGCCTGATCAAGTACATCGGCGCCCTACAGGATGCCTCCAACTTTGGCCAATATCAGCTCTATCAGCACGACTTGGCTCACTACATGAAGCTCGACGCTGCCGCTCTCAAAGCCCTCAATCTCATGCCGGGCCCGCGAGACGGCTCCAAGACGATGAGCATCTACGGCGTGCTCAACCACTGCAAGACCCCCGTGGGCAGCCGTCTTTTGGCGCAGTGGCTGAAGCAGCCGTTGATGAGCAAGGATGAGATTGAAAAGAGGCAACAGCTCGTTGAGGCTTTCTTCACCGACACCGAGCTTCGGCAGACCATGCAGGAAGAGCACCTAAGATCTGTCCCCGACCTGTACCGCCTGTCGAAGAAGTTCCAACGCGGTAAAGCCAACCTGGAGGATGTCGTCCGCGCCTATCAGGTTGTCATCCGCCTGCCGGGCTTCATCGGCACCTTGGAGGGAGTCATGGACGAGGCGTATAAAGATCCCCTGGACGATGCTTACACCAACAAGCTCCGCGAGCTGTCCGATAGTCTCGGCAAACTCCAGGAGATGGTGGAGCAGACCGTGGACCTCGATGCCCTGGACCGGCACGAGTACATCATCAAGCCAGAGTACGATCAGAGCTTGCGAATCATCCGTAAGAAGCTTGATCAGCTCGATCGCGATATCAGGCAAGAGTTCAACAACGCCGCACGCGACCTCGACCAAGAGGCCGACAAGAAGATCTTTCTCGAAGCAAATCACAAGGTTCATGGTGTGTGCATGCGTCTGACACGGCAAGAGGCTGGCTGCATCCGTGGCAAGTCAAAGTATCTGGAATGCTCAACCCAGAAGAACGGCGTCTACTTTACCACAAAGCAGCTGCAGGCCTACCGCCGTGAGCACGACCAGCTCTCGCAGAACTACAACCGCACCCAGAGCAGCCTGGTGAACGAGGTCGTCCAGGTAGCGTCCTCGTATTGCCCAGTCCTGGAGCGCCTTGCCGGCGTGCTGGCTCACCTAGACGTCATCGTCTCGCTCTCCCACGCCGCGGTGCACGCCCCTGAAGCCTACGTCCGACCCAAGATTCATCCCCGCGGTGAAGGCCAGACCAAGCTCACCGCGGCTCGCCACCCCTGCATGGAGCTCCAGGACGACGTCCAGTTCATCACCAACGACGTGGAGCTCACGCGGGACAAGTCCTCGTTCCTCATCATCACCGGACCCAACATGGGCGGCAAATCGACCTACATTCGCCAAGCGGGCGTCATTGCCCTCATGGCCCAGGTCGGCTCTTTCGTGCCCTGCTCCGAGGCCGAGCTCACCATCTTTGACTCCATCCTCGCCCGCGTCGGCGCTTCGGATTCGCAGCTCAAGGGCGTCTCGACCTTCATGGCGGAGATGCTCGAAACGGCCAACATCCTCAAGTCCGCCACGGCCGAGTCGCTCATCATCATCGACGAGCTCGGCCGCGGCACCTCGACCTACGACGGCTTCGGCCTGGCCTGGGCCATATCCGAGCACATTGTCAAGGAAATTGGCTGCTTCGCCATGTTCGCAACGCACTTCCACGAGCTCACCGCCCTGGCCGACCAGTACCCGCAGGTCAAGAACATGCACGTCACGGCGCACATCAGCGGCACCAACAGCGGCGGCGACGACGTCAACGCCAAGCGCGAGGTGACGCTGCTGTACAAGGTCGAGCCCGGCATCTGCGACCAGAGCTTCGGCATCCACGTCGCCGAGCTCGTGCGCTTCCCGGACAAGGTCGTCCGCATGGCCAAGCGCAAGGCGGACGAGCTCGAGGACTTTACGACCAAGCACGAGGACCTCGGCGTGAGCTACAGCACCGAGGACGTCGAGCAGGGGAGCGCCATGCTCAAGAAGGTGCTCGTCGAGTGGAAGGACGCGGTGAGGAACGGGGGGCTTGTGAGCAAGGAGGAGCAGGTGGCCAAGCTGAAGGAGTTGGTGGCCGCGGATGAGAAGCTGCTTGCCAATCCGTTCTTTCAATCTGTCAAGGCGCTCTGAAGGGGACTCATATGGGACACGATACGGGAGCAAGCAATCAAAAGCGATATCTTTGCTTAAACAAAGAAAGAAACGACATTTAGTGTAGTGGTCTCGCATTTAACAGCGTCTGGAGTTGGGAATGACGGTATTTATTGGGCACGAACCCTTTCATTGTTCATGGTACGGGATATACATCAGAAACATGGGTACATAGCATGAAAATATGCCTATATCTGAATTGGAAAAATGCAAGCCTCGTCGAGTCTACTTTGGGTGAACTTGTTGTTGATTTCCAGAGCCTGTCGATCTGATATGTCAGCCTGCTATTCGGGACAAGTAGCAGATGAATGAAAAAGAGATGTATAAGAGAGATTCCATCAGACAATAACAATGTAGATATGGTGATAATTAATCATCGATATCATAAACAGCCTCTGAAGAGATTTCATCATGGAAATGGATAATAATTCAAAACGCAGAATAAATAGGGATTTAGATAGAAAGGAAAAGAGAAACGTACCTTTTCATGAGAACATCTCGTCAAGCCACATGCAGACAGCAACGGTGGTTGTGACGCAGACGCAACAAATGGAACGAACAACAGAAACGAAAAATCCGATTATCTAGCACCGCATCTCTTCCGCACTGGAACGAGATGCAAAAAAAATATATGTACAAGCTGCCGTGGACTCACCTCAAATCGTTGGCAGCTGGCTGGTTTTGATTCTTTGACTTTTGATACTTTTTTTCATTCTTTCTTCTCGGAACTCTTCCCCGTGATTCACTGGCTGCCCTCAACAGTGGCGCTCACGGGGTTGACCTCGAAGCCGTACTTTTCCTTAATCAGCTGTCGTCTCCGCTCCTCGTAGCCAGGAGGACGAATGCCTGTGTCGCAGTGTTAGCTCGCTGAGAAGCAGAGATCCCATAGCTTGAACTATAAGGGACCTCAAACAAGTGCAAAACTTACCTCGTCCCTCGCCAATCTCGGCAACTGTCTGCTCAACGGGCAACCGGGTCGTCCGTCGGACCGTCTCTCTGCGCTCAAACTCATCCTCCTCCTTGTAGAAGCTGTCCAGGCGTCCACCAGCAACGTGGAACAGGCCCTGAGCGGTACCGACAAAGGCACCAAGGGCCATCACAATGGGCATGCGCTTGACTGTGTAAGAGCAAGAGAAGAGGTTAACGTCCGCTATTGCCGAGAACCGGATAGAAGTTCAGAAGGGGATCCCTTACAGGGAAGTCCGAGGACACTACCGCACATGAATCCTCCAAAGGCAGCGGCCCAAGCATCCTCCTTCTCACGCAGGTTCATCATCGTTCGGGAGAAGAAAGCATAGGCACCGGGACCAGCAGCTAGACAACACAAACCCACCGTCAGCTAAAGAACACACGAGTCCCCATCATCACCGCCCTCCAAAGAGGGCGGTTCCAGCCCAATTGGGACAAGAGAAATATTCAAGCCATACCGCAGATGCCGATAATGGGAGCTCCCCGCGTAAAGACGCTCATGGCGCCCACATTGCGCTTGGACAGGGCATTCTGGATGGCGGCGATGAAGAAGCCGCTGCCCAGGCCGACCAGCGAGGTCTTGGCCGTCTCGTCGAGGACGTCGTGCGGCACGTACGGCTTCGCCATGGCGGTTCGTGCGGGAATTGCGGGCTTGGGTGGCTCGCCGGGGTTGGTGATGGGAACTGGGAAGAAGGAGGAGGAGCTTGTTTTGACACTATTCTTGCGGCCTTGATGCCTCCGGGATACGTATCACGTGATTGGACTGGTGTCATCAATTGGGCTGGTCTGATTGGACGGGAGTTGCTGGCGGGCAATGTCCCGCATTATCGGTACGTAGATACTTTCAAGGCCCCACCAACCCACCAAGAGGCTGGAGGTGCAAAAGATTGCTTCATACCAAAAGTTGTATAAGATGTCAAATTTTTGACGATATAAGACGGCTAAAGGCACTCCTTGGCCCATTGTGAATGCCGATAATTTCTCTTGTCTGATCGATTGTCCCTCTACACTCTGAAACTTTCAGATATCGCGTCTACAAAGCTTCTGTGACTCGTCACTGCATGAGAATCCCTCAGCTTGTTCTCACACGAACAAGACCAGCAGCAGTCAAGTTCAGATTCGCGAAGCTCCAATCCGAGGCCTCTAGTCTTCTCGTATACTCTTGCTACAAGAGCTCATCTGGAAACACGTCCATAACCTCACAACATCACCGAATCCGCAAGAAAATGAGCTCCCTGGAAGCAGAAGCGCAACAACCTCCCTCAGAACCAATGGGCACTCCCCAAGAAGAGGCGCAGATAGCCACCACCACCACCATCACCTCCTCCAGCGCGCCCACAACAGCCCCAGCAAATCCGCCCATGTCCAAAAACGCCCTCAAGCGCCTCCGCAAGCAGGAAGAATGGGAAGCCGGCAAGGATGACCGCCGCAAGCGCCGCAAGGAGAAGCGCCACGAGCGCAAGACGCGCGCCCGCTCGGAGCGCGCCGCCCTCATCGCCCAGGGCGTCGACCCCCAGGACCTGCAGAAGAAGAAGACGCCGTCGACGCTCGTCCCCGTGGGCATCGTCATTGACTGCGACTTTGAGGAGTATATGATGGACAAGGAGCGCGTGTCGCTGTCGAGCCAGGTCACGCGCGCGTACTCGGACAACAAGCAGGCGCGGTACCGCGCGCATCTCTGGGTCGCGGGCTTCAACAAGGGGATTGCCAAGAGATTCAACGAGGTGCTGGGTGCGCAGCATAAGAAGTGGAAGGGCATCTGGTTTGATGACGGCGACTTCTTGAGTTGTGCGGCCAAGGTTCGCGAGAAGATGAATGCCGCTGATGGGAGTGGAGGCGAGATGATTGAGTCGCTGCAGCGCAGTCTCGACGAAAAGCCGGCGTGGACGCGTGACGAGACTGATCCTTTCCCTCTTCCCGATCCCGAGCCTCCTCTGGATGAGGCCAACAAGGACGTTGTGTATCTGTCTTCAGACTCTCCGTACACGCTTGAGCGGTTAGAACCCAACACATGCTACATTGTTGGCGGGCTGGTCGACAAGAATCGCGAAAAGGGCCTCTGCTATCGTCGCGCGCGGGAAAAGGGCATTCGAACGGCCAAGCTGCCAATTGGCCAGTTCATGGTGATGCAGAGCCGGCAGGTCCTAGCGACGAACCACGTTGTGGAGATTATGCTCAAGTGGCTGGAGTGCGGCGACTGGGGGCAGGCTTTCTTGAGCGTCATTCCGAAGAGGAAGGGCGGCCGGTTGAGAGGCGAGGAGGCTGGCGAAGATGCTGGCGAAGGTGAAGCCGAGGCGAGTGAGGCCGAGGAGGAGGAGCAGGATGAAGAGGAAAAGGAGGCCGGAGAGGCCGAGGCGTCAGAAAGTAAAGCACAAGATCCCCCCCAAGCAGAGGCAGCGACAGATGTTGGAGATGCAAACAAAGCCGAACAGGTAGAAGAGACATCATAGAAAAGGCGAACCGGCTGCATGCAGCGTCAGGAGTAATACCAAGCAAGATCCATACCCAATGCCTGTTGCAGAAAATATATATACTCCCCTTTATATGCAATTCCGTTTGATGGCCCTGTGCGTCACCAACGGAACCCTGATTCTCCCTCATGACACGCTTTTCAGAATTCCATTGAATCATCCTCTCGCTCTCTCTTCACTCTTGCCGTCCCTTCGTCCTTGAGAATCCCGGACACAAATGACCGGAATTGCTCGACATACGGCTTGAGGCTGGTCTTTTCCCAGTCCGCAATCTTGACGTGGGATTTGTCGTCACCATCTTCACCGTCCTCTGCGCCCTTCCAGCTATCGATTTCCGCAAGCAAGCTCTGTACCGTGGGCACGCCAAGAGGGTCAAAGTCTTCCAAGGCCTTGGTATCAATGGGCACACAGACGCGCCCTGTGCCTGGATGCACGACAAAGGGGCTCTTGAGCAAATGGTTCAGCTTCTTGCTGACTTCGATATCGAGGCGAGGATAGGTGTATTCCAGTACAATGTCCTGCTTGGCTTCGAGTAGTGCTTTCGAGTCCAGATGCTTGCTTGCACCGGTCTTGGCAACGGCGTCAATGTCAGCCCATTTGGATGTCGATGACCGCCCAGGAGCGGCCTCCCACTTGCGGCGTAATGATTCGTTGAGATTGCGGTCGGGAAGAAGTTGCAGCAGCTTCTGGGCTTGTTCATCCGTTGCCCAAGGATCCTGGACGGCCAGTACGTCCTCCTGGAAGTGCGTCTTGAGAATATCGAGACTCCGGCTGAAACCCTTGTGAGCAGCTCGCCACAACATGCTGAGTCAAAACAATTTCCACGTACCTGAGGTGAGGGTGCAGCGGCCTCTTAACATTGACCTTTTTGCCACTCTGAGAGCCGCCCCTGATCACTTCCAGATAATTCGCGATAGCCCTGCGCTTCTGGTCGTCCAACGACCGAGCCTTCTTGTCGCATACCCAGGCGTGGGCTCCTCTTCGTCCAGAGTACACCCACATGATGTGTTTGAAGCCAAAGTCATCTCGCAATGCCACATCAACGACCTTGATGGCCATGGTCATGAACTGCCAGCACTTGTTGCAGATTGTGGCCTTGTCGCAGCACGTTCGGATGTCGTCGTAGTCGGTCAAATCGATATCAAAGCACAGCTCTTTCGACAGCGGCTTAAAGGCAGATGAGTTGCGCAGCGTCTTGCGGTCTCGAGGGTTCGTCGTGTAAACGGGGCCGATTTCGAAACGGGAGGGCATAAGACGGAGGACGTCTTTCCGTAGCCTAACGCATCGTCAGTAATTGGCCATTCCTTGACGACTTTGTGCTTGACCAGGGTCCGGCTTACAGATCGGCTGTTGCAAAGGACTGGTAACGCAAATATGCGTCGTTTTGCAAAGTAAAGGCAAATTCGCGATTGCCAAAGTCATTCGACGGCGTTGGGCTGTGGTTCAGCCATTGGAAGAGCTGTCGCCAAGGGAAGAGCCGCTGGTAAAAGCTGCGCATGACCTCTGGATCCGAAGCTGGCATGGCTCTGAGCACGCACACAAGGTCAGCTTAGACAGCCTCGATCACACAAAGGCGAGCACATACGAAGGGGATGCTGCCCGAGCCGGTGAGCTCACAGCCTCGCGCTTAACGGGTACTGAGCTCGGAAACTCGTCGTCGGAGTCGTCATCTGCGAAAAGCTCGTCGAGCTTGATCTCCTTTTTTGATTGCTCGGCCTGGCCCGCAGAAGGCGCCTCGACCTCGTTCATGTCGATGTCGACATCCTCCACGGCTGCGGCTGTGTCTGCTGGAGCAGCGTTGCTGGGGACTTCCGCCTCGCCGTCCATTTGCTCGTCCTTTGTGGGTGAAAGGGAATGCGGCATCGGTCGTCGTCTTCCCTGTATTTCGCTTCAAAGAAAGGATTTGAGTCCAATTGCTTGGATACTGGCTGATTTGGCGCCTGGATTTGGCACACGATGAGTGCCCTGGACTTGCGCGGGGAGATGCTGGCACGAAATCGGGAAACGCGTCTCGACGCGTAAAGTGAAAATGCCACTCTGACAGCTGCAGCGGGTGTACCGTGCAGATACCGTGTCGGACGGTACGCCCAAGCACTTCAAACGGTCTCAGCTCAACCGAGCTTTGCAGCGGCACTGAAGCTCCTCCGGCTCCGCCTGTTCTCGCCAACCAGCGTCCAGCCTCGGACACCAAAATAGCAACTTCACGTCTCCGACTATTTCCATGGTAGTGCCTCTTTGCCCCGATACACAGAAACCGCCTCTATCGCAACACCACAATCAAAGCAATATATTACTCGTACAAACTCTCCGGTTCCAATCTCATGCCGCGCCCATCTCAGCTGGCAATAATCCTTGGATTGTCTCCGAATCAGACGCACCGCAAAGCCCGCCACCCAACCCGGTAAGGATCCTCCTCCCGGCTTCATGCATCGACAAACGCAGAATACAGGGCCTAGAAAGTTCCAAGTCGCAAACTATTCCTCTTGGCAAGCAGTCCATCTGTCATCACCCTCTCCACTGAGATAATCTGTCCGTATTGCCATCCAATAGCCAGTCGTGTGTATCGAGCCGGTCAGCTATCGAGTTTATTGGCTGCGTAGCACTTTTGTCTCTTCATCGTCAACGAACAGAGTAACGGTTGATCTAAACACAAAGAAACAAGGAAAAGAAAGAATGTCCTCGTATCGCTCGTGTCAGTGCTACCAGCCCCAAACCCGCCTCCCGACTGTATCACTTACACGCCTTTCCGCCGTCTGGTCATGGCTGACTGACAAGGCGCAGTCTCTGCTTCGTACAGTAGCAGTAACAGTAACACCCAGTTCACTTAGGCGAGGTCAGGTTAGTAGCTTCAACGCAAAGCTCAGACTGGCTGGCTTTTGGCATCAGATTGCCATGCCACGGCATTGATTGCTGCATCGCTTTCGCGATTCGGATGGACCAAGAGCTCGCCCCCTTGGCTCTGACTAAATACACGTACCTTACCTACTACCTAGCAGCCCAAGGGTGGTTTTTGGTGACCTATACAGCATCTGTAAGCCCTTCTGTAAGGGCAAAAGTCAATGAATAAGGGAAAAAATCACTGATAAAGCGCTTACATTAGACGTTACGAGTCTGTCACGGTCACCAAAAACCCCCCTCCGGCTGCTAGGTAGTAGGCACATGCAGGCTGATTCCTGCTGTTCAAAATTACCTAGTAGTGTAGCACCTGTCGTAATAGTACATTAGCAGCATGCGGCAGCAATAGTGCGAAAGCAAGCACCCTGATAGATTTCACATTGGTGCCTGCCAGCAAACAATACAGTTGTGAAGGCACAGCTTTCTCCTTCCGTTTCTTCTATCCTCTCTCTCTCTTTCCTTGTTTCATTTTGATTTTTCCAGATCGGCTGATCAAATTGCCACATAAATCCCATTGACAATCCATCTCCCAGAACAGTCGAACTGTCAACTGCATCAATCTTACCAAATCATGATCCTCTCCCATAGAGGTACGCTTTATCTTACATGGATGGGTATTACCTACGTCTTACAGCCGCACAGGACGGAAAAGCCACTGCAAACACCCATTAATGCAAGTTCCACTGCAAGGAGAGAGCAAACAATTACCGTCATCAACTCCCTCCTCCCCGCCTTCCCAAAATTTGATAGCAAACAGCATCCAATTGCCCTCCGGGAAAGCGCTCAGAATCTCTTTCCCCATCTCCATTGTTTCCCTCGCGGTCCAGACCCCGATAGAACCGCTCTCAGGCCGCGGCATGCATCATCGGGGACCCCATGGACGGATCCAACGGCTACAGACAGGTACCAAATAAACCTCGTTGCCCCCAAAAGGCATGAGCTGTTCCTTGGCCCTTCGCTTCTCTCTTCTCCCTTCTCTTTCCTCTTTTCTCCCTCAATGTCTTCCCATCTCACCCATTCTTCTTCCCCTAAGATAAGGTACCTTACTCTTCTTCTTCTACCTACACTTCTAAGGTACCTGCCTATATTTTCTTTTCTTCCGCCATTCTACCAGCCCTCTTCCCTTGTCTCATGCATCCCTATACTCCCATAGGTGACGTCGGTGCCCGCTCCATCTTACATCGTGGGTTCCGCATAAACTACCTACATACATCCTACTTGTTAGACAGCCCTCCCGGACATGCTGCTCCGCCGCGCTAAACGAGACCTCGCTCAACCCCAGCTCAATTCGACGTCCTCTACTCTTCCCCCGGCTTCTCTCGTCTGTCAAGTGACGTCGCTACTGAAGATGTGCACATCGGATCTCGCTCGGTCCATACCATTCTCCCACACAACAGGGGGTACGGACAGAAAGAGCCGGTGCAGAGGAAGAAGGTTGGCTGCTTGATTACCAGTCTTTAAAAAGCTTGGACGGCCTCCGGTTTGTCATACCGACCCTTTGAGCCCGCGATTCTCCGCACCTGATTTCGTTATTGCGGCGACCTCACTGATCATTATAATGGATCTCGTTCCCCATGGCTGCTTCAGCTTGGTCTCTTCCGGTCGCACTTGGGGACTTCACCTCTCAAATAGCCAACGATGGCATCTCGAAAAAGTAAGCTTCCGGGAGATATTTTGCATGCGGACAATCTTATCATTAACTGGCTCCGAGTCATAGACAGTCGCCAATTCGGGCTTTCCATGCTCCACGACTACGATAGCCCTTGGCACCGCTTCACCACAGGAGGGACACTGATACTTCCAGCCGATTTTCATGAACCCATGTCCTCCCAAGCATACCTCGTGTCCACTCTGATATTCGTTTGTTTCAAAACAAGACAAGACAGAAGTGTTTCCTATTCTTTCCGGAATTGGCCATATATTGCCCCGACAGATATCCAGCCCGTATGCGAAATCATCCTTCCAACCAGAAATCCCAAGTCAACAGATGAGACCCGTCTTCAAGAACGGACGTGGGGTAGAAAAACCCTCCCTTTGCTTTACGACAACTCATAACGCCGCGTGACAAGATTTTCATGCAATGA